CCATGTGCTCAACATGGTTGTGCTGTGTGGACTAATAACAAGATGGAAGGTAGAGCTATTTGGTGCCTTAAAGCTACAATACCAAATTGTACCGCTAGGTGGCTGGTAATTATAAAAATAGGTTAGGAGAATTTAATGCACAAATAATAAACCAAACATTTACTGTTACAAATATCATTACTGATAGTGGATCAGTTGATGAAGTGATTATTTAAAAAACTTTCCATATTTCTTTGCCCTTGAGGAACGACAGTCCATATTTAGAGTAAATGAAACTGCTTGCCATTAATTACGCTTAGCAAACAAGATTATCCACAGCTGTCAAACCATACACACACACACACACACACACACACACACACACACACACACACACACACACACACACACACACGGCTGCTTTTCTCTTCCCCCCCTGCCATGCCTAATTTCATTATTCTATTAAATAAGGTTCATTAACAGCAACTGGATTAAAAAAAACTTCATTTTAAGGGTTGATAGGCACTGTGGACTAGACCCTCCAGAAAAACGCGGGCTAAAATCCTTGATTATGCGGGCTAAAATCCTTGATTATGCGGGCTAAAATCCTTGATTATGCGATTAAACATGCGGGGTTTTTATGTGATTTTATGCGGTGAAGTTGCTAAATATGCGGAAATATGCTAAATATGCGAAAAGTTGCGAAATATGCGGGAGGCGGATAAAAGGTGATTCTTCTCCCACACCCTGTTACTAGGCTACTACTGAATGAAAGTGACAGTGGCGTTTTTATATGTACAAAAGTGGTGGGGCACAAAAAACGTAGATGTCTATATATAAGCTTCTGCAGTGACGTGCAGTGAGGTTCATGGCTGGTGAGGCACTGGCACTGACTCTTCAGGTTTACAAATATTATATTTTGACCTAAACCAAAATATAATATTATTTTCAAAAGCTTTTTTTGTCTGATGCTTCGATTAATTTTAAACAGACAGTTCAACAAAAGGATACCCAAAAAATGTAATTTTATCATTTAAATATTGAATTGTTCTCTCTTAGTAAGATCCCATTTTCAATCAAATTGCGGTCTTACCTTGACTTGAAGATGAAGTCCATTTGCCTATCCTTCTGGACAAAAATGTCTATAACTTTTTTGTAAAAGTCCTCCTTATGTTCTTGTAGTTTCAAAAGTCTATCATAAATCTAATCCATAGATTTATGATAAAAAAATTATAAAAGTAGGGTAGACATGTGGATGTTATCCGGCTGATCAAAACGTGCATTTATCTAACAGGTACGTTTCCCACAGATCTTATTTCCAGCTATTTTCTAAAATCCTCTGGAGAAATCTCATTGCTTTTTTGTCGAGGGAAGCCATGCGCAGCTTACTTCCTGGTTTTAGGACGCGTCACTGCAGCTCTCTCGTCTCCTCTTCACACACCACACTTTTCGCGGCACACGTACTTACAGCCAATCAGCTCTGAATGATTTGAGATGACGTATGGTGGGGATGGTAGCTCCATGCCCCTCTGGTCATTATTTTTTTGCCACACACATTTCATTACAAAATACTCTGAGCATGCGCAGTGTAGTTTTTACAGTCACCGTTGACTTCACAGCGAGAGGAAGGGGCATAATCAGGTTTTGTCCCACATGGCTCTAAACAGCTCAATAGGCACACACTGTGACTGTAGACACACTAATTAGAAGAACACAGACTAAAACAGCAATGTACAGACGAATCAGATGATTAAACATGATCTTAAAATATATTTTATATATTTTTTTATTTATTTTTTTGCATTTTTGTAATCATTATTTGTAATACTTTCTGCTGACACTAGGTGGGGCTGTGCCCCACCTGCCCCTAATGACCAGTCGCCACTGAAAAGTGAGCCCTTTTAAAGAGTTCCTATGATAAACAAGCATACTAGAAGCAAGCTACATCACAAAGTGTTATTTATGTATTTATATATGGGCTATTTTAATCACTCTCTCACACACACACACACACACACACACACACACACACTCTTCTCCGCCTCATTCTGTTTTCATTTACTCGTTCGTTATCTGACCAGCTTCAATCTTGTAGGCTACTCACCTCGTTTCTTGTAGCCCTCGAAAGGGTTTTGGAGGTTGATGCCTCGGTGAACGCGAGTTGTTTGGCTTTCTTGTCCGCAGCAGCAGAAAGCATTTTAGAATGTTTGAATGAATCAAAGTGGGTCGTCACCATCGATTTTCTCTTATGCTCCAACACACAGTTGCACGGGCTGCAGAATAGTTTCCCCCCACTTTCGTGCAAGACATCGGCGTACTGCTTCGCCCGGTCTTTAGCAGAAATGTTCGTAGGCAAATTAGATGGATTCGATTTTTTCATCTTGGTCAGAGCCGTATAATAGTATAATAGTATTTAATAATAATAGTATAATAGTATATAATAATCGATATGGCGCTGATCTTGTTGTTTTCTCTCTCGTGTGAGTTCCACACATTCACTCTACGGTGTTGTTTACCTGCGCGAGCTGATGACATCACTACTTCACGTTAACTTTTTTTCCCCTCAACTTTGTGTGGAAAAATGCGGGGATTATGCGACCTTTTAATAAATATGCGCCCTTTTAAAAATCTGCGCCATTTTGCTGATTATGCGGTAAATTATGCGATCGCATAATCGCGTTTTTCTGGAGGGTCTAGTGGACATTTCTGCCCAGCTCTTTTGTCTCTATTCTCTCTAACCCAGAATTATAGCCTTTTGGTTAAAATGCCTTTCCTTTCTGTCAATTATTAACCTGTTAATTTGTCATGTTGCAACCTGGTTAACGTCCGCTCAAATTATGTATAAAACTGCAATTAACAAATGGGTGTGAGTACAATGTGAGAGTGTGGGAATGGGAAACTGAGTGAGAAATGTATGAGAAAGTGAAACAATTACAGAAAGTGTGGGAAGTTGCGAGGTCTCCGGCGACGCAACACAAAGACACATTTATTATCTTTTTCATCCCAAAATAAATGGCCCTATTAGCTGTGATGGTGCAGGTCAAAAACACCTCCACCTGCCTTCAGAGGCTCCAGACTCACATCATTACATTCACATCCCATCTCACAGCTCTCACTCATATCATCCCACCACTCAATGGCATCACACGCCTAATATAACGGCAAGGTGCAAGGTTAATGTGGAAGAGTTTAGAGAGCTCTCTTCATTATTCTAATTACTTAGAATGCGTTGCAGTGCCCTCCAGAAATCACAAGTCAACGAGGGTAAAAATGGGCCATAGTTGATTGTTTCAAAAGTAAAACTTGTTTAATAACAACATAGATTCTTCTAAAGAAAGAGAGAGTCTTTACAATATAATAAGTAGTGCAATTTTAGCTTGACACAGTTTTTCTAAACTGATTTCTTTTTGATTAGATTTTAATTTTTGTATAGCTTTTTGATGCTTGTACACCTTGGTAATAATGGAATTTTAGATTGGCTTAAATGCCACATATAATTATTTACATATCCCAAAATGCTACAGGTTGTGTCTGGAAACAACAGTATAGCATTTGTATTTATAAACAATGGATATAACAAAATAAAATTACCCACTGCAGCTTATAGTGTTGTGTCTTTATGGGGAATATATCTTTGCACTAACTGTGGATACATCAGAGACCAACAGGGATCAGCAAGTCATTTTTTATAGTGTTGAATCTGCGGGTACTTCCTAAAACAAAAGAAGATCTTTCTCATGTTCATGATGAGTCACTTTAGGTTTTTGATCATTTTTTGTAGTGCATACTGAGCCGCCTTTCTTTTTGTTTTCGTTTATGTTAGTGTGAACTCTGATGTCCCTCCTGACCTAACACATTACATTTCTACTATCGCCGTAAATGTGTTTCCCTCAGTCCATTTCATTACTTTTATGGTTAGGAGTGAATATAAAACTATGCAGTATAAGCATTCAGAATCGTAACTGTAATTGGGCTCATTTCACCAACACTAGTACACGGTAGTAAAGTACTTGACTGCATCATGCTGTGGAGAAAATGCTCATTATTTCATGTCTTTGTGATGCTGTTTTTCAGAACGAGGCAACATGTTATCCACCCTCATCAGTCCAATACGACACTGGGATACTGAAGCATCATCGGCTGAGGATGCAGACAATTCAAGTAAATATTTATTTCCTTTCCTGACAAAACAATTTTTTTCTGTGTTCTGCTGTCAAAGACAGTTTGCAACATTACGACAGCATCAAAGTGTTGCAGTGTTTTAGACATGCTAAAGTGACTTTATACATTTTATTGTCAGCCTGTCAGTTGATTGGTCAATTATTTGGGCCAAACTAATATATATCAACCATAACATGGATTACCATTAAAGTTTGTACTCACATTCATGGTCCCTAGAGGATGAATCCTACTGAATTTGAGGTTTTCCTAAAATGTCTTCCAGCTCCACTGTGTAGTTAGCATTTATACCGTAGTTCTAAGACGGTTGCGTATTCTGAACTTTTGCTAATTGACAACCAACAAAAAATAGTCAATTTGGGTAGCTCAATGCCATACCATGCAGTGTATATGCACCATTAGTCTTATTACCTACAAGTCGGCCTAATGACAGCTAGACAAAAACAAAAAATCCCAGTTTTTTTTCATGTCACGTTTCCTGTTGTTATTTTCTTATCTGTCAACAGGCAGCAGTTTGGAGGTGAAAGAGAATGAGGATTATAAGAGCCACATGGACTGCGACCTACTACGGAAATATCATCCAGCAGCTTTTTGCACAACTTTCCCCAAACACAGTACCCGATGCCTAAAGAGGAAGCAGTCGCTGCTCCACCAGAGCCCCTTGACTTGTAAGAGACCAGCCTGGGCTGTCACTCAGAAAAACGCACTTGTGCACCTCAACGAGTTACAACCTGGTCTGCGGTATGAAATCATGTCGAAGGCCGGCCCACTGCACGCTCCAGTGTTTTCTGTTGGTGTGGAAGTGAACGGTTTCCATTTTGAGGGCAGAGGACCGACAAAAAAGCAAGCCAAGATGAGGGTTGCAGAACTTGCTCTTCGGTCTTTCATCCAGTTTCAAAACGCCTCGCAGGCTCACGCCTCCATGGGGAACTTTACCAGCACTCCTGTGGATTTTACAGCCGATAAACTGGACATCCATGACGCATTCCTAAAAGAGTTTGAGCCATCTTTGCTGGAAAACTGTCAACTCCGGCAGTGCAACACAGCAAAAAAGGAGGTTTTCTCCAGCATATATAACTACAGACGAGTTGTCCGCCTTAAACTGGACTTCTCCTCAACTAAACCCAAAAGACAAGCCATTAGCACCTCACTTTTAGAGCACCTCAGCCCAGTGGCGCTGCTCAACGAGCTGCGACCAGGACTCAGATATATGTGCCTGACGGAGAGAGTTCATGGCAGGCCGATGAGGAGTTTTGTTATGGTGGTCAGGGTGGAGGGGGGGGGTGTTTGAAGGGTGTGGTCACAGTAAACGGATGGCAAAAGCCCAGGCAGCAGCAGCCGCCCTGCAGTCCGTTTACAACATCACTCTGGGACCGGAGAGGAAAGTGATGGGTCTTAACGGCAGCAGAGCTAAACTTCAGCTACCTCAGGTGAGTAGGTGCAACTTATTTTTCCACCAGGCAGTATTTAGATATGGATGTATAAAGAAAAGAAAAAAAAGCCTTGCCACTTTTAGGACCTAACATATCAAATAGGGGCTTTTTAAGTGTGTCTTTCCACATTTGACTATATGGGAAAATGTCACAGACACGGAGGTTGTAGTATGGCCATTGACCGCTACAAGAATTTGCTTCAAGGCCCAACAGAATAAAAGAAAGGCGGTTCTTTACAAGTGTCTAAATGAGACGACTAAACGTCATCACGCCCAACATTAGCCTCCTTTAGCTTAGCGGTGGTGACGTGAAGTCATGTGACCGTGCTGTAGTTCCTTTATAGCCCAACATTAGCCTCCTTTAGCTTAGCGGTGGTGACGTGAAGTCATGTGACCGTGCTGTAGTTCCTTTATAGACCAACATTAGCCACCTTTAGCTTAGCGGTGGTGACGTGAAGTCATGTGACCGTGCTGTAGTTCCTTTATAGACCAACATTAGCCTTTTACTTCCGGAGATTGCATTATGGATTAACCATTATAAAAGTGATGTGATATATGTGAAGATTATCCTTTAAAAATAGGTGAGTTTTATAACATGAACAAATGTCATTGTCGGGTAGCCATTGCAATGGCAACTTCATCATCAGTAATTTTGACAAGTATGTTTTTTTGCATCTGTAGACAAATGTCTTGTCAGCATTTGACACAGAATACAGAGTAAAGAGACGGACTCAGTGTATCAGTAAATGCCCTTCAGATGTAAAAGACAGATTTCCCTCGCTTGGAAACATCAGCAGTGACACTGAATTCACCTCTTATCTGCTTAGCTTTTCAGCCAGTCTTCTAAATGGTCTGGATAAATGGGTCTGAGGTGCGCCGTATGCTACCAAATGAAGTGTGGCGCACATCAGCGCGGCCATCATGTCTTGAGGCCGATAGATGTTGTCCTGTATATGCATCGTCTGCAGAATCCAAACATCTTTATTATGTCTGCGAGCCTTTAGGGAATTGTCCTCGACGTGTTTTGCCGTCGTTCTTTATGAATACAAGAAGATTTGTCTCCACGGAGCTGAAGAGGCTGAGTGAGCATGGCTAATGCAGAAACACATCTTCATGCTAATATGCAAAGGAATATAGACTCTTAGACAGACATGTAGATACTTTATTAAACCCTGGGGGGTGATTCAAGAGGATGGTGACTTTTTTGATTGTCTCTGGACAAAAGGATGATTTCACTCTTCATGCTTTAGGCTGACACCAAAACTTAACAATATGCAAAAGCTTTCCCCCTTTATGTCCTGGAAATTGTTATTTTTTTACATCCTCCCAGACTGATAATTTAGCATCTTCTCCCCCCCTTCAATATGAACTGTCTGTCAGGCGGCGTGACGCATTAATGAACATGATTACAGCACATTAGGGATGAAGGAGGAGCGGCAGCAGACCGCGGAAAGAGAGGTGGAGCGGGGAAGGCGGTGTGAAGAGCATAATAATCTGACAGATAATTGTTTAACACACTCATTACACACGACCTTGTGCCGCTGTCATCCAGAAAACGTCGAGCCACAGAGTTTCGCTCCCAAAAACGATCATCTGCTCTTTCAAAATGAGATGAAACATACAGATACAGAGTGTTATAAACACTGAGGTCACATCACGGGTTATAGTTCTGGGAATTTGGGGCAGTGAATGTCATGAAATCTACACCTTTATTCCACATGTTCGACCTTATCATTCATAGTTTGAGAAAAATAGCAGCCTAGTATGTTAATGTTGTCTTTAAAGCTTTATCCACTGCACGAAAAGTACCAGCAATTGATCAGTAAATGCAGATTTAAGGGAAGCTGCAGTTCTTGGATAAATTCATAAGATAAGAAGTACTTTATTGATTTGGGAAATGTTTTTGTTGCAGCGGTATAAAAAGACATGGCATTGCACAATAAAAATTAAACTAGACGTTCCCTGATTTAGGATTTTCCACTATTTATACATTAATAATATAATATTAATGTTGTTTTAACCCACATCTGATCATGTGTTTCTGCAAACCCTCTTACCTTTACCAATAGCATACACTCATCAGAGCACAAAAACCAACAGATTCAAGAACATCTATCTAAAGAAACTGATAGGCAGTGAATAATGCCTCAAGTTCAAATGAAAACCACCACATTTGGAGAAACTTTGTGTGGCAAAATCTTATTGTTGTCCAAGAGTCATTTATTTTATACTTAAATGTAAAATAACAATCAATCCAAGACCTGTTCAAACCCAGATTCAAGATTCAAGATTCTTAGGCCACAGGCTCCTCCAACAGAGCAACATGAATATATATAGGACATAAAACAAATACAATAGTGTAAGAGAATGTTTTTTGAGATGTGCAAGTAAATACAAATGAAATAAAAATTGTGCAAGAAGAGTCTATATCCACAGAGCATATCCGTCAAAAATCTTATCAGAAACTGTGCTTTAAGCCCCTGATGCCTCCTGTGTGATTTTCTTATCACACTTCAATGACCTTTCGCTGGCTCTAAGACGTCGTTCTGTTTGTTTTCACTGCAAACACTATCCCTGATCACTCCATGATATAGGATGCAGCTCATGTTAAAGTCACAATTGGTTCCTGTAGAAAATTAATTTGGTTCTGATACCATTTCGTTGAACCTTGCTGCACATAGCAACTAACTATCTCCCCATAAAAAGAGTGACAGTCCTCTACAGATATAATTAGACATATTTCGACAGGTAGGAGTGCGACACCTGTTCCCCCGCAGACTGGAGGACTTTACAGTGAAAAGAAACTCTCGGCCTTCACTGTCAGACTGTCAGAGAGTTTTTGGCGAGCTTCATTCTGGAGGTCCAGGCAGAAACATGTCACAGTTGTTGCTGCATCCCTGCTGACTTTGTTTGAAAGTTTTCTGTGTGTTTGCTGGAAAAAATACAACAGCAGGAGTCACAATGTCCTCAGGCTTAAATATAGGTGAAGCAGAATAGCACATAGTGTAGTTTCTCGAAAAAAATAACTGTTATATATAACATAAATAGAAATAATACGTTTTGTATTAGGAGGGAGATAGTGTAGAGCTAGAGGGAGTTAATCACTTGGTATTTGCTAATATTTGGTTAAAGTGGTTGATAAACTGTTATTTAACAGATTTAAGACTTTTGTTTGGTTTTCCGATATATAAAATGTGTTTTTTTTACACTAAACAATGTTTTAATCGGTATTTTATAATATTTCTTCTGTTTGTGATATAGTTTTCACAAGAGACTCTTTCACAGTCAGATATATTTTTTACCAAGTAAACAAAATGGATGGTGTATATACAGTCTATTTTAAATCTATGTTTTACTAATCATGCCAAAATGTGCAAAAACATGGCAGCTAATAAAAAGGACTTCATAGAAACATTAAACTGCCTGTTAACTTAAAGGATAACTTAAAGTGGGCCTATCATGCTATATTTGAATAATATAGTGTAGGACCATACCTATATAAGGCATATTTATACTTTTTTTTTTCAAAATACCAAACAGATCATGCATTTTAGCCATGCCTCATTTTGCTCAATTTGCACTTTTGTAGCTCTGTTTTAGCAAGGGCTGATTCTGTGAGAACAGCACCATCTACAGGCCTGGCATATGTACTACAGCGTCTCCAGCGCTTTCGAACGGCAATGGCCGTGGCTGTCTCCTCCTGATTGGTGGAGTTGGCCCAATAGCCGTAGTGCCACTGTTCTGACGTCAGGACAGTGTTCAAATCTGGATCAGTTTTTATCAGATCCGTTGCAGCCCCTTTTTTAGAGATTTGGGTAGGGAGGAAAATAGAGAGGGTTGTGTTTTCTGACACTTGGTGAGTTCCCTGGAACACCGGGGACACATATTCATGTATACAAGACGTACTAAAGTGCATTTTGCATGATAGGTCCCCTTTAAGTAAAACAAATATTAATAACAAGTGTGGGACAATCAGGTTAAGATCATCTGATTCTTTAGTTCTGTGATATTCTCACCAGAAATTCACATACGAGAACTACAGAATAAAACGACATGTTCAATTTGCATGCTCCACTTTTCAAACGATGCCTCTACCATTTCTTCTTCTCCTGCAGGTCTTTGCAGAGTCCGTCTTCCACCTGGTGAGAGAGAAATACTCCGAGCTGACGGACGTTTGTTCCTCTTCGTACGCCAAACACAAAGTGCTGGCAGGAGTCGTGATGAGCAGAGGTTTGTTATCTTACTACACACTATCTGGATCTGAGATAGGAAGAAGTATTTATAATTAATGAAATGAATAGAGTGGTGCAGTGACGAGTCCTAAAACCCAGAAGTGAGTTAGCATTTCACCACTTCCTGTTCCCTCGTCTCAGAGCCAATGGGATCTCTCCATAGGATTTTGGAAAATAGCTGGAAATAAGGTCTGTGGTTGACACAAATGTAAGAGGCGGGTCACGTTTTGTTCTACGACATTAAATCCATCAGCAGTGACCCCACTGGTGATTTCTGAAGAGTTGACGTGTCTGAAAAACGATGGTTGTTACCAAGTGGCTGAATAGGACTACAGAAGTCGTGGAGGCCGTTGTACGTCATTACGCCGAACACGTAAACACTCCTCTAAGTTTGTTTCTGTTCTGCTTGAAAGCAAGTACCTGCCTCCTGCTAACTGTTCAAACAAACGCTTCAACTCGTACCATTTAGAATCTGTATGTTTGAATATGGATCTTAAGTTGGCGTGACGTGGAAGTCGTGCTGCTGGACTCGGCTGTAGTTCCTTTATAGCATAACGTTAGCATTTTGCTTCTGGACATTAGAATTATGATTCAAACATTATAAAAGTAGGCTAGACATGTGGATATTATCCGGCTGAACAAAACGTGCATTTATCTAACAGGTTCGTTTCCCACAGACCTTATTTCCAGCTATTTTCCAAAATCCTATGGAGAAATCCCATTGCTTTTTTGTCGAGGGAACCAGCAGCTTACTTCAGGGTCGGCCAACAAAAACACGTCATCCCTGCACCACTCTATTGGGTCTTGGATGTAAACATTACATCCATTGTCTTTTTCATAGCCTTCACCCCTCTTATTCCTCATTTTAAGATGCGTGATATTTGATGCACATAAATTCAAATTCTTTAGTGAAAACGTGTTCCTTGTTTCGCACAAACCAAACCAAGAATGATTGACTATGTTGTAAAATGTCCGTCGTAGAAGTTTAAAAATATATAATGTAGTCAGATGTGAGAATGTGAGGGACTGCGGATGGAAAGTAGCTCAAAGCTAAATCCGGCATATTTACACTTGGCATATTTCATGTTTTAAGTGTTCTTTAATGTGCAATGTCCCTGCCAAATAAACGAATAAATAAATAAATAAGATCTAGGTAAATCAAATCCCAGGTATTGTCTCAACAAGAATATTAAAACATATGAAACACTTTCCATATCTTATGATTTATCAACTAAAATCCTAAGAAAAGCACGTCACATAGCCCCACACTGTTGTAATGCCACATAGAAAACAGAACAAAAAAATATCTTCTTTATTACCAATTTAAATACAGGGATCTTACCAATATTCATGTGAGCAAATAGAACAGTAGAGGAGCATCTGAGTAAAACTGTACTGCTGCAATTAAAAAAACACGTTACCTCGAATTACCCATCGTATCCAGAGCCCTTTTTACCGTCTTTGATGAGGCCAGATTGACACAGCATGCTTCTGAGATGTTGGATTGATTATTCTGTCACACATTTGTCATTAGCTCGTCTCAGCAAAAAGGAAATGTCTTGTTCTCAGAGACAAATGAGGCGTCTTGTTTGATTTGCATCATGTTGAATGTCTTGCACCATCAATTGTTTGTTGAACAAGTCACCAGAAATCTGAGCAGATGTTTTCAACTCTGTCTTTTGTTAAATACTTCATTTCTTTTCCAGGATTTGACCTCAGGACAGCGCAGGTTGTGTCTCTGGCCACAGGGACTAAGTGTCTGGATTTGGACAATGACAGTGACCACAGAGAAACCCTCAGTGACTGCCACGCAGAAGTCATGAGCCGCAGGGCGCTGGTTCGATTCCTGTACGCTCAGCTGGAGCTGCTGCTCTGGTACGACCCTCAAATTACCCTAAAATACGTTTTTTGCTTCTATTTTCAGTCTAGGCTTGGTGGGGAATCTAGCTTTCTGACCGGGGGCATTTTCTTGTCAAATGTTAAGTCCTTACTCAGCATCGTATAGGGTCAGATCAGTCTCAAAAATAAAAAATGCACACAGAAGGAAACACAAATGTCTCCATCCACACACATATTTTTCAATGCACACACAAAAACTTATCATTTTATAAATGTAAAAACGTAGCATTGTCGTTAGAGCAATATGTCAGTATGGGGAATTTTTTCAAAATGTGCACAAACATCCACTTGGACTCAAGGATACTTTTATTAGAGTTTGCTGGTCAAAGTAACGGTCACTTTGACCTCACAATAGTCCCTTTGATTTAAAGTAGATATCTCAGATTTGGGATTTATATTCAAATTTGGCACCAACCTTCACTTAAAGTGGACCTATCATGCTATATTTGAAATATATATTGTAGGGCCATACCTATATAAAACATGTCTGTGAAGTTTTTTTTCAAAATCCCTAACAGATCACCCATTGTAGCCATGCCTCATACTGCTCAAACCCCTCTTTTGAAGTCCTGTTAGAGAAACTCAGATTTTGGGTCCTTAGCTTGAAAAAAAGAAAGAAGAGGAGGCGGAGCTAATGCCTGATCAGAATTCTACCGGAGATAGAAGTCAAATTCTGCTGTGATAAAACGCCATCCTGTTTAAACCACGTCAAGGATTATTTCTGAAACAGTATGGAGCTCAAATGCCTTTTCTCTTGCAGGTTTATCACAAGGTGAGTTCTTTTTTTATTTCCTGCTTTTTAAACACATGTGCTCTACAGTACAGGTTAGCTCTGAGTGTTAGCGAGGCTTGCTAATGTAAACAAAGACGAGATTACGTCCAAAACACGTAGGCATTGTTTCTGATAGCAACTTTCTGTGGGTCCGCCGCCGATTTGACGTCAAATCGGCGGCAAATCTGTATCCGCTCGTTGTTCCCCCGTTTTTAAAAGATTTGGGTACAGAGGAAAAGAGAGAGGGTTTTATTTTCTGACGCTGCGTGAGTTCCCTGACACACCGGGGACACATATTTATGTATAAAAGACATCACAAAGTGCATTTTGCATGATAGGTCCCCTTTGATCCCAATTCATGACAGTTTGACACAATTGTCTAAAAGGAATGCAAGGCTGTATTTTTCTTGATATCAACAAATAACATGAAGAAATACAAACCCAAAACTATAAGTCTGTCTCTCAATGATGTCTTATTTCTTGTCTTTGGCTTTCAGCTCTAAGCCCATTGAAGACGTTAATCTTTTACAAAACCTCTCTCAATATATTGGAGTCTCAAAACCTTAAAATAACCAGATCTAACTTTATCTGCAGCTGCAAGAGTTGTAAATCCTGACATTAAATACAAAACTGACTGTTTTCATAAAGGATTTAGTGTCTGTCACTCTGTCTCTGTCTCATGTTTCTCTCTGTCTTTCCTCTCCGTAGTAAACCAGCAGACTGTGAGGAACAATCCATTTTCGTACCAAATGAAGTTGGCGGTGGCTTCCGGCTGCAGGACGGCGTTTTCTTCCACATGTTCGTCAGCTCGTCGCCGTGCGGAGACGCTCGACTCAACTGCCCCTACGAGACCACGGCTGCATGTGAGAACAAAGCAATTAGACGATGGGAATAATGACGATACTGATGTTTTGGATTTTGTGATATCATCGTGATGTAATTTGATTTTAGAACGGCAAACTCAATTTGAATGTTTTAAAGTAAATTAAAGACTTTTATTTGGCTTATCATTTTTTGTAGTATCACTGTTCATGTTTTATTGTTACTGTGATTTTTTTTGGTCATACTCTGTAAAGCACTTTTGGCTGCGTCAAGCATGAAAGGTGCTAAATAAATAAAGTTTATTATTATTATTATCTTAGAAGAACTTTACCCTTTTACGGTTTGGGTTTTCAGTTCATGAAAGTTAATAGGAACATTTTGGTTGCCTAAAAGAGTCCGGTTTAGCGTTCGGTTGTACTGAGTTCGATCCTCACATGTCACTTTATGGTTCCAAGAAACCAAGATAACAAACTTCCCAAATGTCCCAGATTGGGATCAATAAATGACATCTTATCTTATCTTATCATCTTATCTTAAAACAGGCTTTAAAAGGCTTTAAAACAGTAATCTACAAAGGAATTGGTGACTTTCTGGTGAGTACAAACACTTCTGGTGTACGGTCTTTCATCAAAGTATTGGACCAAGTGAGATTTTTAAGTGATGATAAAGAGTCAGAGGATCTCAAAAGTTATTACAATTAATCTTAATAAGGGCACCAAGGATTGTACCAAATTTCACTCCAATACATTCAATACTTCACTCATAACCTAAAAAGTAAAGGTTATGATAAAAACATAAAATCAGAGAATCACCAAAGTCAGTGGGATTTATCCCCTCATGAATGTTTTTGTAAAATGTCATGGTAATCCATCTAATAGTTGTTGAGATATTTAAGCCGGGTGGATCAACCAACAGACCAACAATATCCAGGGTTTTCTTCAAATGCTGAGCAGAGTATTTCTCATCTTATAAGTCCCCTTCTTCTCTTTTGTCAGATCCCAGCAGGAGGTTTCACTGTCACCTCAGGGTGAAAGTGGACGGTGGAGAAGGGACGCTGCCAATCACAGCAAGAAGAGCCAATCAGAACAATATGGCAGCATTTAAATCACGCGTCACAATGTCCTGCACAGACAAGATGGCAAAGTGAGTTTATAATCAGCCCTAGATGTAATAACAGTGTATTTATTGTGTAATATGGGTGTTATATTGGTGTTACATGGGTGTAATATGGGTCTTTTAACAGTGTAACACGGGTATAATAAGGATGTAATAAGCGTGTAATCATAGTGTAACATGGGTGTTATAACAGAGTAATGTGGGTGTAATAACTGTCTAATAGGGGTGTGTTAATGTGTGATGTGGGTGTAATAACAGTGTTGTATGGGTGTAATGTAGAAAATAGCAATCATTACATTTTCCAAAATATTGAATGCGCATTCAAGGGTTAAGTTAACATCTTATTTGAAAGGATAATGCGTGTTTATTACAGCTTGGGTATTTTTTTGGAGTTACATTTATGTCAATGAGTGAGGCTGCCACACCGCAAAAACCATGTGTGCTCGGATTTCTTTTTAAATGTTTTTGCCCCAATAATAAGGGTGTAATATGCGTGTAATCGTAGTGTAACGTGGGTGTAATGTGGGTGTAATAACTGTTTAATAGGGGTGTATTAATGTGTGATGTGGCGTGTAATAACAGTATTATATGGGTGTTATATTGGTGTTACATGGGTGTAATATGGGTCTTTTAACAGTGTACCATAGGTATAATAAGGATGTAATATGCGTGTAATCATAGTGTAATATGGGTGTTATAACATTGTAATGTGGGTGTTATTCGGGTGTAATAACTGTTTAATAGGGGTGTATTAATGTGTGATGTGGATGTAATAACAGTGTTATATGGGTGTCATGTAGAAAATACCAATCATTACATTTTTCTAAATATGAAATGCCCATTCAAGTTAACATCTTATTTTAAAGGATAATGCATGTTTATTACAGCTTGGGTCTTTTTTTGTAGTTCCATTTATGTCAACTATGAGTGAAACTGCCACACCGCAAAAACCATGTGTGCTCGGATTTCTTTTTAATTGTTTTCCTCAACAGGTGGAGTGTTGTTGGCCTGCAGGGGGCGCTCCTCTCTCACCTGGTGGAGCCAGTTTACCTGCACAGCGTCACCGTGGGAACGCTCAGCCACACGGGTCACCTGAGCCGAGCCTTTGCACACCGTCTCGCACCCGTCAAGCACCTACCCTTCCCTTACCGACGACAACAGCTGATGCTCGGCTGTAGGTCCAAATGTTTTATGCACATATGATATTTTTTTTGGTAACACTTTATATTAAGGTACATTAGGTCTAATAGAGTCTGACAGAGTTGTTCAGTTATTTCACCAATAAAACAACACTTTAAGCCAACATTTGAACAGGTATTCAGTATGAGAGCCTTTCTGTTTTCACCCCTTCTCTTTGGTTTCCTCTCTGCTCAGGTCTGAACAGCAGTGATGTTCGGCCGTCAGGAAAGGCACCGAACGTCAGCGTTAATTGGAGTCGTGGTGATGGAGGCCTGGAGGAGATCAGCAGCTCTACAGGACGGAGGAAAGACTCAGGGACGCCGTCTCGGCTCTGCAGGAGAAACATGTTCGAACGCTGGCAGAGGATTCAGCAACAGGTGGGTCAAAGAGATTCAGGGACTGAAAATAATTAAAGGTCCCCTATTATACTGTTTTTCATCAATATATTATAGGTCTCAGATATATACAAAACATGTCTCTGAAGTGTTTGTCTGAAACACCAAACAGATCATTGCAGCATCCCATAATCCCCTCTGTTTCAGCCCTGTTTCCAAAGTGCTGATTCTCTGTCTGTTACTTTAGATGAAAATAAGGAGCCCCTCCCCACGCCCCTCTGAGAGAGATTTGGTTAAAAATAACACAATGGTGCTCTAGGAGGAGATGCAGGTGATAAGGTGGGGGGGGGGGGGTTACCTTGGTTGGTGATTGGCTAATGGTTACACAAGCCAAAAAACGTTATGACATCATAAAGTGGCCAAAATCTGATCAGCTCATTTTCAGACAGGTTTTTATAGAAATGGATCAGGACAAAAAGAGAGAGAATCTTTGTTCCTGAAACTTTCAGAGTCTCTTTCCACAGAGGGGACACATGTTGATGTAGAAGAGACATGAAGAAGTGGATTTTGCATAATAGGTGACCTTTAAGTAAAGGATCTGAAAACTACTTTCACCACTTGCTGAATGCTATCTTTACACTGCAAATCACCCTCAACTCTCATTTGTATTTGCATTATGTTTCTCTCTTACTTCCTCAGTTAAACGGTGCAGAGGCGACTCCATGGACATATTCTGGTTCCAAGATGGCGGCCGGACGTTACCAAAGGGCGATGCATCAGTTCACCAGCGCACTGCAGGGGGGAGGGCTGGGAACTTGGCTCAGAGAAACTCCAGAACTGGGTCACTTCAATGTTAGTGTGTGATAAACTGTGTGAAAAGACTGAATATTGAGGGTGCAGTACATGTATGATTTTCTTTGTGACACACTGTAACACTAGTTAGAGCAGAAAGTTGGTTATTTCCAGAGGTGGGAAGTAGTGGAGTACAAATACTTCGTTACTGTACTTAAGTACATTTTTCTGCTATCAGTACTTTACTCCACTACTTATTTTTCTGATTACTTTTTACTTCTTACATTTTTAACACAAATACCTGTACTTTCTACTTCTTACATTTCCCAAACAGGCTGGTTCCTTTAGTTTGAATGTGTGTTTGGTGGCGTGATCATTATTATTTAGAGTCATTGCGTGCCTATTGATTTGAACACGATCCGTGTATCCATCATTTCCTGGTCTTCTCTAAAGAAGAGGGACCAATGAAAACGTTGTCATGTTGCCGTTGTTCAGCATGGAAACATTCATTAGCTAACAATGACATTATTGTTCTATTAATATAAAGGGAGGTCAGTTACTCTTTAAAACAGCTAAACCCATACTTCTTTACTTTTACTTGAATAAAGAAGTTTAGTCAGTACTTCTACTTTTACCAGAGTATTTTTAAACACAAGTATCTGTACTTCTACTTGAGTAAAAGATGTGTGTACTTTTGCCATCTCTATTTATTTTATATAAGAAAGGATGAAATGGTTGGAGCGACAAGTAAATAATTCAAATATGCTCAAAGCATTCAGAAGATTACATTAAGCTGGAGTAGACCTCGTAGTGTGTAATGTTAGTTTAGGTTGCCTAAAAACTGCTAAAAATGGCTCTGGAAGCCACTGCTAGCTTGTCTGGCTTAATAAAGTCTCAACAACAACGTCGCTTAAACCACATTGAAGATATTTATGGAAGTTACAGCAGTATACAATGAGTGTTTGAGTAGAATGTAACTTAACAAGGCTAAACTTGCAAAGACACAACTGCACAGTTAGAGTTGAATGTTTAAAAATAGGTTGATCACTAATAATAGGGTGTTATATAATAATAACATATCATATAGACTGTTATAATAATAGTATTAATAATACTTTTGTGATAATGATAACTTCTTTAAGATACAATACCTCCCACCTACAGTACATATCAACAAACTGGTGGCAAAAATGTATTCAGCTAATTAAGTGCGGAGCTGCTAACTTTATCAGTTTTATTTATTTGAAAAACGGCAAAAAATGTGTAGCATAATTTAAAAAAGCTAATCAAGTCTTAATCAAATGTATTTGGTGTGACAAGTAAGCTAGCCATAGGGTAAATAATCCTGGAACAATTTAATATGCTATGTGTTTTACATCCTTTTTTTGCAAACATGGCATGGTGTCCTCACTTAACAAGTCTAAAACAAATGTTCGGTCCCCACAAACACCATAAAAAAGAACAACACACACAGACCTTGTTTTTGTCCCTTAGGAGGACATTGCATTGACTTATATTAATGCCTACATGACTTAACCTAACTTTAACCATGAAAACAACATTCCCAACTCCAATCCATACTCTAAATGTACCATAAAACCTTCAAAGAGCCTTACCCTAAAATGTAATCATTTACCTTGTGGGGACCAGATATTTGACCCAAAAATGAAGGTCCCCACAATATCAGTGTGTCAGGAGATTTCTATCCCTCATAATGTTAATAATTCAACCTATCTGATGACTACAAAGCAGAATCTGTTTAGTTAGTAACAACAGCTTCTGGTCTCTTTAAGCACTAAACTGAAAGTCACATTTTAATGTATTCTTACTTATTTGTTTGAGTTTGTTTTGTGTGTTCTGTTGTTTCAGATATATTTATTTTAATGTAACTGTTTGTCTCACTTCTTCAGTTATGTTTAAGTTTCTCACCCTTAATACATTATATATACATTTTGAACAGTGTTTTAGAGAGCCATTTTATATGAGGCCCAAGAGTGAAGAAATGTCGCCACCTACAGGAATATTGTGTGCATTACAAGATGTGGAATCCATGTTGAAATCCAAAAAAAATAGTTTTGTTGTTTTCCTTTATTTTGTACATGTATCCGTTAATCTCTGTAAATCATACATTTATTTTCCCAAAGGGTTTTACTTTCCTGAAAATTGTTATTCTCGTGTAGTCTCTTGTTGTTAATTTGCAGAAAAGTTTTCAGAACAAAGGAATGTAAAAGATATACTGGAAGGCACGTTGTTGAATGCTATGAACACTTTAATGGTTAATGCAGAATGATTATGGTCGGTATATTGATCATGTCTATTTTTATCAATAGGAATAAATTAACCTATTTGTCTTAGTTCTTGTTTTTGTCTCGCATCCAAGTCCAAGCTCAAAGTCACTACCAGGTGCGATAAACAAACAAAAAATGTTATATCATTGATTAAATTAGTTATTCTATTAATTGTATTTTCTGCGTCTTTCTTTTGATTTGCATAAAATGAAAATATGTATACATCTCTATGAGTGCGAGGAAGATGCCCCCAAAATTATTTTTAATGAAATGTTTAACTTTCAAAAGATTACAACAATAAGTGAGTGGATTTTACCTGATTTTTTATATATATATAAAATGATCTCAAAATAATATTATATAATAGTATTTTCTGTTTAAATTCTTTTTTTCTCACTTTAATAAGTTAACAGAATATTAAAACTCAAATCTTCACCACTTCAGGGCAGGAAACAAGGAGTGAATTCAACAATAATGTACATTTTTTAAGTTGATATGATTTTTTCAGCAAAACAGTTGCTTTTTACACATCCATCACTTGTGGAGCAACTTTTGCACAGATGATAATAAAACAACCAAACTAGAAAACATTACAGCACAAATTGTTTATTTTAATTTCACAAGCAGCTGTTTATTCCTTATTATTACACAGCTTTAACCCACAAAACTGCTGTCAAGTCGATTCAACAGGTTTACATTTTTCTTCTGAGAACTACATTAAGGTTTTTTTGCCACTTTGATCACACAAAACACTGTTAACACGTTGCCACAGTTTCACAAGGCTTCACGACGGTGGTTGTGATCTGGTTTCATGTTTATTGATAGTGTGAACAGTATGACTGAACATTATTAACATTGTTATGAACGTGGCAGGCAGCAAAAGTGGCTCAGTGTTGGTAAAAAAAAAAGCAGTTGAGTGCAGTGAAACTTGTTTAAAAGGTTGAACATTCACAATCCTAAACACACAGCTTCTATATTTCCTTCACACAAACAAGATGTTCTGTCATTTAAACCAGTGATAACTCCTCTTGCAGAATTGATTTTGGGAAAAAGGACATCAATGATCTGCAATGTTGTGCTTTTGTTTTTAATTAGAATATTGCTGATTGCAGCTGGAGTGAATAAAAAGAAAGTGAAGGTACAGAAATAAATGTTTTTTTTAACATAACATTTGTCCAACAGTGAAAAGTATCTTACATTTATACATGTAAACTAAAATTAATTAGGAACTACTCACCAAAACATATTTTTTTGAGAAGAAGTTTGAGAAGCTAATTTATTATTAGCCGAATGCAAAACTTTGGACTACATTTGCCATCTCTGGTGTAAATGACAAAATTAACTTTTATGTGAATGTAAAGCCTTTGACTGAAGAACTAAGTCATTCATCATGAAGCAGTAATCTACACAAAATAAAAACAATTGAAATGCAGGAACATGTCATCAAGTTATAAAGGCTAATAATAAAACTGCTGCAGCTGAAAATCCGGCGACATTTTCATATATTACAGTTTATGATACAAATGTTATGGTGTTAAAATAAGAACAATATCACTTTACAGTTGCCTTTTAAGAAGTTATCACTTTTATGTGCATGTAATGAGGCTGTTTTTACACCAAAATCTATATTACTTCACTAAATTTGGTATTTATAAGACTTTTTAATTGTTAGAAATACATTTCACTAGGTTAATACAAGGCAGCTGTAAAGTGTGACCAAAATACAATTCAATGTAATGTCAATGTACTTGTTTTAATGAACACTTTTGTAACAAACCAGCATAAATCTAAAGCTAGACTTAGAAACAATCAGTTTGAAATGGACTGTGCTTATTCATCGTTTTAATGCTGTAACTTGTGATAACATTAAACACGTTTTTAGACGTTGATTTGTTTCGCACCACAGATAGACACACAGACTTTGTCCTCAGACACACGCACGCACGCACGCACGCACGCACGCACGCACGCACGCACGCACACATCACTACATCCTTTCCTATTCACTCCAATGCAGCTTTGGCTGTTTTAGTGGCAGTGGGGAAGCAAAGCAGGGGACAGCGAACGCATCACGACACTCCTCAAAAGGTTTTACTAGTTTTTAAGTACCATTACAAATATGACACTGACAGAATCCCCACAACAGTGTTTTCAACACTAAAGACTAAAGGGCACTGCGATAATCTAGGAAAAAACTATTTGTACATTCATGTCAAGTATTGGTACAACAGCAGGGCTGGGCACCAGAAGAAACATCAGTTAGTTTTCTCTTTTATCGTTGGTTGAAATTAGATTTCATTATATTTTAAAGTGAGTTAATTGATATGTAACACGTACAAATAATGTGCTTTCTCTACTAACCTATTTTATTCCCTTCAAATCTGCTCAAATTTCACTTTTATTAGAAATGATTGACTCAACTGTTGTCAGACTTAAGCAGACTTCGTTCTACTTTAGTCATTTTTGTTAAGAGTTTCATCTCTAATTATTAGATTTTGCGAGTAGAGCTTGAGACGATAAAAAAAGAGGCATAGAAGTTTAGTTTACCTCTGAAAACAAACCTTTCCATCTCTATTAAAGCCCTTCAGAAAGATGTGTGAACGTATTACTAATATATGGGTGGAGAAGTCTATTCTCGCCATTTAAAGTGCACAATTGTTTGTCTATTTAGTCACTGAAATGGGACTTCATTTAGTACCAAATACCCCAAAGGACTATTAAATAGAATATTCTTTAGGTACTATGTCTCGGTACCCGGCCCTGCATAACAACTATCTCAACAGGTGCTGCTCTTAGAGACTAAATGTTTCATTAGCACACAAACAGAAACACTGTAATCACCTTTCCTCCCTTAGATGGATCAATATCTACACATTTATTTTCTGTCTACTAGAAACACAGTGGCTGGTTCATGGCTTTACAGAAACAGAAGCACAGTCAGATCCAGATTAACACTGTGAGAAGAGTGACTAATCACATATAAGATGTGGGAGGTCATATTGGGGTCAAACTCTAACACTGGAGAAGTTTCAGTCAATAAAAAAACCACTATCACCTTTACATAGGAGAGGAAGTAGATATTTGGGACCAATATAAGAGGTTTGGTTGAGATTTACTCAGCCAATGGTCGATAAAGCATCCATAATATAGTCTTTGCAAAAGACAAAATAATAAAAATGTCAAATATAGCGTCCTTTTGTTGGACTTTTGTAGCTTTAATATCCACCAGGCGTTATTTCTTTCCCTCTTTAGTCACACAACACTACTGTTTTAAGGTTTAGCAATATACCAGTTCTAGAGTACACAGCACCACGGCTAGCAAAGATAATGTTATTACTCACATTTTGTTCAGGTAGCCACAGTTTAAAAGGTAGACAGATTCCACTATCAGCCATCTTAAATCTAACAACAGAATAGGACCATTATGTGCCAAAGTGTCTGGCTTTGCAGAAAACAATCCTTAAGCTAAAAAAAAACACCAGCATTAAACTTTGTTGACCATTTACATAATCTACAATACTCTCCAGCAACAAAAAGCTATATAAGACTATTCCAAAAGGTGCATTCCTGTACCACACAGACTCCTGAACGCTGAGCAGAACTGAGCTTTTACAAACAAAAGATAATATGGTGGTTGTTTTAAAGTGTGTTTTAGATAAGCAGTAAATCTCAGGTGCCAATAAAAGTTTTTTGAATGAAACAAATGGGGAAATATCCCTTTTTTCAAACAGCTCACTAAAATTGATAACTAGCCAAACATAATTTAGACAATGTTCGGTTGTTGTTAAGGTATCAATTCAAAGAGTGAGGGCTTCTTTCGTTTTATATTAAGAAGTTTAGGTAAAGAAGGGAAATGGCAAGTTATCACAAATTAACTTCTAAAAAGAATGGTTGAAGGATTTTCTCCAAAAGCATCAGATTCTTGTCCAAACATAAATCTGCTCTCAGTGGCACGGATTACATTTCGTTAATTCTCCAACTCACTTATCTTGAGTTTTGAGCATTTTAGTTTTTCACTAAAACAAACGTGTCTGTGCTTTCATCATCAGTGGTACACAGGTCGTTTATTTCATTTGGATAGTGAAGAATTGCTCAACGCAAAAGAAACACACATAACATGTATATATTGGCGGCTTAAGTTAGATAATATGTTTCATTTTTCATTCCTTCCCATCCTTTTTTTTTATCTCAGAAAGCTGAAAACTGACCGCCTGCAGACTCAAAGGCAGCTTTTAAAACATATATTTTTAAATGTCATTGAGTATTTGCTTCAAGTTACGTCTGTTGTAATGTGACACGTTTTTACAGACCAAAAAAGACATGTTTGAAGCTGAATTTAAAGCCTGCAGAAAGTGAGTGTTCGATGCTCTTGAGAGGCAGACTTTGTGTGTAGTTTCACCGTAAAGTGGCAGCATCGGGAGGTCATTTCTCCTGCAGCAGGGCGGGGATGTTGATGTTCCAGCCGATGGCCTGCCGGTCGAATCCGCAGGTGAACAAGTTGCAGGACGTGTTGTCTTCACACCAGGCGGAGCAGCAAACCATCCGACGGTGACCCTGAAGCACCACAGAAAACACAGCAGCTGTTAGACACTGAGGATAATAAATGTTGGGAAAATCCTGAATGAACTCTTCCAATATCAGAGTACACATGATAACAAAGGTATCCCAACTGTAGCTGTGTACATGACAGGATGTATGATTACCTAGAAGAGCATCAGGACTGTTTGAGGCATATGATAGCTATGTGATTAACATGATGATTCAGCCTCTATGGAGATAGACATATGACAAGCATGATCATTTCTGACGTGGAGCTAATCTGAAGTAAACATTGAATACTGCTTTCTATTCCTCCATCTTGTGACTGTGTAACTCCCTCTCTTGGATATCAGCATGTGAAGGACACTGTTCAGGAACTAGTTGATGCTCTGTATGTGATGACTACTTCCATTCTGGAGAGGATCACAGATACATGGATCCTGAGATTGAAGCTCAAGCCGGTGACGAGGGATTTTAAAAACTACGTTTCCTCATTACACAGTACAGATAAATGCTGACCAAGTTACAAGTCTATTTTAAAGCAATAACTAATTCAATAAAGACAGGGAATGAGTGTGTATGGAAGCTGCGAGGGGTCAATCCGAGTCCTCCCTCTAAACTGACCTGTCTGTTGCTGCGGGGGAGTCGAGCCAGCCGCACCCCCGACATGTCGAACAGCCGGACCTGCCTATTGTCGTGAGGAAGAGCGATGATTTTCTGGTTCACCGACACGCTGATCCTGGACACAAAAACAGGAAGAATATGCCGTAAAAGATAGGTCAGATTTCCACTATTATTTGCGACTATTTTCAGGTAAAACTAAAGTATTTTGTTGCTACTTTCTGCTAAGACGTGTTGTATGAATTGGACCACAAAACAAATTGTTTAAGCTACAAGAGTCCACTCATAACTCAACATAACATAACCAGATCATAAACTTCTACCTTTTTCTGGGACACTGAACCCTTGATATCACTGGAAAGTGTCTGTAGTTTAAAATACAAAAGTTGTTCTTGTTTCCCTCAAGGAGCTATCAGGGTTACTAGCGCAATCCACCAAAACACACAGCGTTTCAAGAAGCTCGTCATTTCTTAAACTATTTGCCGCAGACACATGGTGGTTGTAAACAATATGTTGTTTGAGCTACCAAAGTTGTTCTTGTTAAGCGACATTCCTAAAAGACAAAGAAACAGCTGTGATGGCCGAGAGGTTAAGGCGTTGGACTCGAAATCCAATGGGGTCTCCCCGCGCAGGTTCGAACCCTGCTCACAGCGTTTGTATACCTTTTAAACTCTTAGCCTTTGTTCAAATGCAGTCCAGCAAGGGTCTTTTGTTGGAACTTGAGCAATGCAAAAAAACTTCCATGGTTGAAAGTGTTGGACAATTGTGAATTGCAAAATGTCTTGAGGTTAGGTAGTTTTAAGCAACCAGAGTTTTTCTTGTTTCTCACAAGGACCTTATACGGTTACTCAATGATTCCACATACATCATTAACATCTGCTGTGATGGCTGAGAGGTTAAGGCGTTGGACTCGAAATCCAATGGGGTCTCCCCGCGCAGGTTCAAATCCTGCTCACAGCGTTTTCAGAGTCTTTAAACTTCTTGAATTGACTATTTGCTGTGGTAGAATTCTGTAATCTAGGTGCATTGTGAGAATGGGTACATTACATCCTCGGTTTAAAGTCTCCAAGACATGTTGTCCGTTTCCAATGCGCTTGCTTGTTCCGACTGGACATGCAGATTTAAAACACATGTTGCATTCATATCTGAGTCGTTTAATGTTATCATAAAAACAAATATATATAAGATCATAAATGGTTAACTTCCTATTTGTCTTGCTCTGCTTGCCCACCACTAAATAAATATAAACACTGGAGATAATTCTGCATTACACATATTATGGCATATTTGCAGCTCACAGACCTGTTGACGGCGGAGTCAGTTCGGATGGTTGCTATGGGCGACCTCATGTTCTTCAGGTCCCACACTTTAACGGTGCGATCATCACTTCCTGATACAACGTTATCGCCCACCGTGAAGACAGCAGACGTCACCGTGCTGCAAGAAGACGAGAAAACAGGTTTAGACTGAAGGTAAAAGAAAGAAAGCATTGACTGTTACAACTTCATTTATTACAACCTCATTTATTACAACTTCATTTATTACGAAGTTTTATTCCAAACATATTTGTTTAAGTTACTTACATTTGGATGGCAGTATTGCTTATTTAATAGTTATTAAGCTGAATATTGAGTAGACTGATTATAACAGTAGAAGATACTTCAAGTTTCTCATTTGTAGCCGTTACAATTTATTGCCCCCCTGTGGCACAAATAACTACTACATATTATTTTAAATGGTAGTATATTTAGTAGTAGTACTTTTAATGTCCATAGGCGCTTTCACATCAAGTACTTTGCCGTACTTAGTTCCCAGTACTTAGTTCATCACAACTCTTTAGCAGATCGCGTTCACACCGGAATAAGTCCCTGAGGGAGGGTTAGAAAAATGAAGCCGCTGACGCCACTTCTTCTTCTTCTGCTTTGGGTTTACTGGCGGGCCGCAAACAACTTCACTGCCACCCGAAGTCCCCGGCCGGAAGTCCCCGGAGTCTGGCTTCAGTAGAAGCTGCTGGGACTCCCAGCAGCTTCTACTGAAGCCTTCCGAGTAAATCTCTCTGCGTTGGTGCGCTAGGCTAATGCTAATGCTAATAATGCTAATGCCAGCAAATAAAATGGCGGCTTCACAAAACGTTTCCGAGTTTTACGGGGCGTGGTTGGCAATCCGCCCAGCCAATCAGAAATGGGAACCTTTTTCTCCCATGAAAGTACCTGCTCTCTAGCAGGGACTAAAAAGGGGTGGAAAGGTTCTCATGAACTAAGTTCTAGTTCCGGATTTTTTGGTGTGAACGCAACATTTCAAGAACTATCGGAACTATACTGGGAAAAGTACTCCGGTCTGCTCAAAATGTCCTCATTTTATCCTTTAAAACCTTTGTATGAATTCATACTTAGCTCATGACTTCTTGAGTTATGACCAAAACTTGTATTTATTATGTCAGAGTAAATGTGAGTTCTTCATTGAGTCATAGTGGACATTTGAAGAAATTCCTTGAAGCATTTCTTGGGATTTCATATTCACAATAAGGTGACTGACAGTGACCTTAAACTCTGACATTTATCCACCAAATTATGAACAGTTCATCCGTAGTTCCAAGAGGACATTTGTGCCACATTTGAAGAAATTCCCTACATTAGTTCATAAAGAATACTTTTGAAGATAATAGGAAGGACAACATAAAAACATTATGCCTCTAGACAAAAAAAAAAAAACCCATAATGTAATAAATCCATAAATCCATATCAGTAGTGAAATACTCATAGAATATTACCCTTTTACTAATACATATTTGACAACCTTAATTATTAAGCTACACGTAAAAGATAATTATACACATATACTTTACATCAATACTTCTCTGCCTACATATTGGGTTTCTTAACTGTAATGTAAAAACCATTATTACTGCACATGAAAAGTGTATATCAGTCATATGTCAGTAGTATGTATATGTGTGTGTGTGTGTGTGTGTGTGTGTGTGTGTCAGAGTTCCCGTTAGCCGGTAATTACCGGACAATGACCGGTAAAATATGCTGAAGTCCGGCAAATCTAAATCTCTCCGGTCAAAATGTCCGGTCAAAATAATTTTCCCTTAGCGCAATACCGCATCAGTTGCGCCACTTATGTGACAGACAAGAATAGTATGTGACAGACAAAAGAGTATGTGACAGACAAAAATTGTCAATTCTAATGTCTAACACTTAATGTGGAGAAAGAGATGTCCTGTATGGGTTGATTGTGCGTTGATCTGTTGGTAATGCCTCGGGGTTCCGGTGGGCATGTAAACAAATGCATAATGCTGCGCTATACTTTGTGGCCTCATCCGGTTGCATAGCGACGCTTATTGTTTAGGTGTCTTTTAACAAGCAGGTAGTCATATCATTAGCTAGAACTAGCTAGATCTGATCGATATGGACATAAATGCGAGTAAAGTCTAATCTGACAGGAGAGAGAGATCGGCTGCTGCTGACGAGTCGACACGCAGCTCTGCATGATCCCCTGCAGCGGCGAGCAGAGCAAAACACACTTCAGGTTAGAAAATCACACGTAGCTATTTTAATTACCTCTCAAACTACCTAAACTAGTTATAGATATGTTTAGTTTTACTGTCGGGTCACTCATTACTGGATCCGCGAGCTGCATGATACTGACGGGCTGTCAGGAGAAGGAGAGAGCGCTCCGTTTATTATTCCCGCGTTTTTGTAAATTACTGTACACTTTTGAATAATGTAGTTAATCTACTATAATTAGTTTGTTTAATGTCGAATCATATCAATTTGTTTTAAAGCTCAATAAATAACAAAGAAGACCTTTAACCGGCACTTATCTAATTTTGTCCGGAAGATTTCAACTTTAACGGACATGTTGACCGGCAAAAAAATATTCTAACGGGAACTCTGGTGTGTGTGTGTGTGTGTGTGTGTGTGTGTGTGTGTGTGTGTGTGTGTGTGTGTGTGTGTGTGCCAGACTGACTCAGTGTGTCCCTGGAACACGTTGACGGAGTGTATGGACGGGTCTCTGAAGTCCCACAGTCTGAAGGTGGTGTCTCTGGACGATGTGACCACCAGACGCTGGGTGGGGTGAGTGCAGCAGTGTGTCAGCTCCTGGTCATGGCCTGAACACACAATATAATACATTTAATATAATACAAAAACAGTATTAGAGCAATAACTAATTTAATAACAACTAGAGAAGTGTCTATGGAAGCTGTGAGAGGCCAATTATTTTTCATTTGGGCTATAAGAACATGCTTTAAAGTTCAAAGTCTTACAAACGATTAAAAACAGTATTATTGTAATATTACTTTCATCCTACCGGTGAGTGAGTGCACGAGCTCTGAGGTCTCCACATCGTACAGGTTTGCAGCTCGATCCCATGATGCCGTCACCACCTGTTTGCCTCCCACCAGCCAATCAGCAGCGATCACCACGCCCTGATGGCTGCGCAGAGTCGTGGTCGCCACGCGGACAGACGGACAGTCGATCGGACCTTCCACCTCGTTATCAGCCTCGTCTTTATCCGAAAAGTCCACGTCCTCTTCACAGGGTGTTTGCTGCAGAGGAATTAAGTGTTTCAGGAACATTAGAAACATTACAGACACACCAAACCAATACATTTCAAGTCATAGTACATTTCTCAAAGTTATTGAAGTGACTGTTTTTCATTGCCATATCTACACTGTAGCTAATGTGCAAATGACTATAAAGCCCTGAAATTGAAATTGATTGAAACTACCATGAAAGCACCACGTCCAATCTGAACCGAACTTCTTGGACACATTGAACCAAGGCTAAGAAAGCGACAATGTTCCCTGAACCCAGGTTGAGCGTATTCTCTACTTTTAATAATGTTCACAACGCACCTGATCCATCAGTTAGCAGCTGCAGCAACTACTCAAATTTCAGTTTTAAAGAATCTCCAAACGCTGTGAGCAGGATTTGAACCTGCGCGGGGAGACCCCATTGGATTTCGAGTCCAACGCCTTAACCACTCGGCCATCACAGCTGTAGCCACTTGATTTGTGAAAATGAACCAGTACGTATATGAAAGCATCAGATGGAACAAACAAATAGCAGATTGCCTCTTGAAGTGGGTGTGAAAGCTTGATTGTCCATGACTGAAATTTAGAAAAGCCTTCGAAAACAGTCACCATGCTAATCTATCTGAGATGTGTGAGAGATCTTTAAAGCTTTGCATTTGAATGGGTGTTTTGTTGGAATGGAAAACCTCTTTTGACTGCATTCACATCCAAGATGTTTTCTGTATGTGAATCTCCAATCATGATGATGATATCAGGTACGGAATAATACAATCCATTAATGGTATTGATGTTGTGGGTAATAAAGTCCATTTCCATTGTGTATATTTTTATTTATACATTTGACATCTACAGTATATATACCTTTACTTGTATATTTCAGGGTTCATACACTTTTTCACCAATGATTTTCAATGACTTTTCCATGACTTCTCCATGACCTTTACCTAATTTTCCATGACCAAAAAAATTACTCTTTCTCAGCGGTACCACTGAAAATGGTTTATTTTAACATAGAACAGGAAAATAAGGTCTGCATATGAAACATGTTGTGTGCCTGTCTAAAACAAATCAAATAGGCTTACTAGCTTCTACACGCTAAGGCAACTAAAATCTCTCACCAGCAAAACACCTCGTCAGTTAAATGCCATTTTACGTTACTATACGATACAGTATTTATTATCATTATAGTATTACTATTTCTGCGATTAGATAAAATATACATTTTATTTTATGCAACTTTAGTTACATTTCCATAACTTTTCCAGGGCCTGGAATTAGCATTTTGAATTTCCATGACTTTTCCAGGTTTTTAATGACCGTAAGAACCCTGATATTTGTATAGTGCATTTATTTGTGTACAGACTGCTAATAGATGTGTATATAACTGACTGTTTGCACTCTGGTTAGACCCTGTTAATTTTGTTACACTCGGCTTGCATTATGTAATGACAATAAAGTAATCTAATGTAATCTAATCTAATAACAAACAATCTTATCTGTGTTCACACTCGTGCTACAGCGGTAAAAAAAAACATCAGACCAACATCCAGTCCATAGGAACAGCAACACAGTGAATAACACCCAATGGTGACAGCTTAACACCCAAACATGAACCTGCATTAAAATGGCTCTTGGCTCTTATGGCGCTTTAAAGTAAGAAATGCTCAATCACATACAAATCTGCTCAAAAACGGTAGGTCATCCCTTTGAGAAACTCTGAGTCAGCCTACCGTAATGTTCACACACCCACACATTACATGTTACTTGTTAGACGCTTTTATCCAAAGCGACTTACATACTCAATACTGTGAGCAATCCCCACAGGAGCAATTTGGGGTGAAGTGTCTCAGGGACACAACGACATGCTGACTGCAGTGGGGTTTGAACCTGTGACCCCCTGATCCCAACACCAAGGCTCTATCTACTGCGCCACACGCCTCCCCATTACTGATTAACTGACCTCATAATAAACTTAGTTTCTTTAAATAAATGTACTTTAATTGGAAATGAATCATGTGTGGTCTCCTTTTTTTGTCTGTCATTGAGCCAGGGCATGACAAATGACATAATGACCACACACACACACACACACACACACACACACACACAACACACACACACACACACACACACACACACACACACACACACACACACACACACACACACACACACACACACACACACACACACACCACACACACACACACACACACACACACACACACACACACACACACACACACACCACACACACACACACACACACACACACACACACACACACACACACACACACACACACACACACACACACACACACACACACACACACACACACACACACACACACACACACACACACACACACACACACACACACACACACACACAGGGATGTGGTGTTGTTGATGCTTACGCTGATATCAGCAACAGGCTGTGGAGTCGGCAGCTGCACCATGTACCTCCAGATGTGAGCTGTCTGGTCTCCAGAGGCTGAGGGGAGAGATCAGACCACAACAATCTGAATCAAGACAAGGCAAAGCAAGTCTATTTACTGTATATATAGCACTGTTCAACACAAGGCAATTCATTAAGACGTACTGCATATTGCCAAGTAGGTTTCTACATTCAATGAAGTTGCTTTAGTGTAAAATGCTGCATACATAAACACAGGAAGAGGAATGAAGTTGCAAAATACTAGTTAAGAGAAATATTGCAAAATAGATTTGAAAAAGTATCATAACATTTCAGAATCAGAAACAGGTTTATTACCAGGTAGGTTGACACGTACGAGGAATTTGACTTAAAAATTCAATGAAAATGTATACAAGAAATACACAGACAAAGAAATATATTACAACTATGACAACTTACTCTGAAAAGTACAAATGTGTGCAGTATATTAGCATTTAAAAGTGGAAGAGCTGTGCCGTTTTAAAGAGGTCAAACAACCCTTACAGAAAACCTCTCTGTGAAATACGTCCAAACAGAAAGAGTGTGTAGAGACTTAACTTAAAGGTCCCATGTCATGGCCATTTCTACTGATCATAATTCCATTGTTGAGGTCTACTAGAATAGATTTATATTGTTCAATGTTCCAAAATCACATTGGTTTTCTCATACAGCATCTCTGTATAGTATGTGTATTCACTGAATTTCACTCTCTGTCCTAAACGCCTTGTTGGAGCTCCTCCCCCCCCCCCCCCCCCCCCCTCCCCCCCCCCCCCTCCCCCCCCCCCCCCCCCCCCCCCCCCCTCCGAGCCCAGCGTGCTCTGATTGGTCAGCTCGCCCACTGGCTCGCTGCTGCGAGGAGCTGACAGTGTGAGCTGGCTTACTGGTATGGTTTCCTGCTTGCTGCGAGACAGCGAGACATTGCGAATGAACGCGGGAAGGGGGGGGGGCCCCATCTGCGAGGCTCCACTAGCACCCCCCCCAGCGCGTCACAGTTTTGCTGCTAAAAGAGTGTGTGTGTGTGAGGAGCTCCACGGATTGGTCCATTTGGGTATGAGCACGTCACTGTACCCAGGAAGAAAACAATGGAAAAAGAGAAATCTCCAACGAGGCGTTCTGGGGCAGCATAGACAGGTCTTTTCTGTGTTAGAGTTTTACTCGCTACAGGGTGTACTTTGAGGGTTTGTGACTCTGCAGACCGTTTACATGCAGACAAACCTTCATAACACACAAGGGGACGGGTAATAACCGGAAAAGCATGACATGGGACCTTTAAGGTTGTTTACCTGTTAGAGCCATCTGTTCAGTGGGGTGGAACTTGATGGAGTTGACTGTGGAAACAGAGATGAATTAGTCAAACAGATGAATAGTACTTTTGTTTTAACCCTGACCTTCAATTATCTGACGCTTCTAATTATCTTTTATTGAAGAGTTAATACGGAGAGTACAACTTGAGTGCTAGGGACTGGATTCAGAAGGTCATCATGTTGGCAAACAAAAACATAATGGTCTTTAATTCGACAAATAGGTTTAATGAGATCTCTCTGTTTTTTAAATGTCTAACACTACCTGATCCTTGGTGGCCCATATATTTGAGGAGGCATTTTCCCGTCTCAATGCTCCACAGCATCGCAGAGTGGTCTGTTCAAACACAAGATGGACACAAAACAGATGAAAAAAACATGACATTTAAAACATGTTTACTGATGTCTTAATTTAACAGAGGTTTGCTTGATGACTGTTTGAATGCAGAGTTTCTGAAGTTATGTTTAGCATGACAGGAGTTGCTTCATAAACCAAAGCTGTCAAATGATATACATTTTTCTTTTGTGTTTGATATAAATTGAAGTAATGTGTTAAATATATATGAAATAAAATCATGTCATATACTTTGGAGGGCCGTGAGTTGGACTGATATTTTTTTTTATCCTGGCAAACTTAGTTATATCCTCAAATACCGTATCAATGTCCAAAGAAATCGATATATATATCATATCGTGATGAAACCACTAGAAAGAAGCCCTGACATTTTCAACAATAAATATGTGAAAACCAGGAACACTGACACTTCATTTGATGCAAAAATACTAAATAAAACTCTAAACTCTTAAACAAAAGATTCAAAGCCATACGGCGTATATCTTGGGTACATTTTCTCTATCGTGCGGTTAATAAATTGTTTGCCTTCCACTCATCGTGAGCACCTGTCACCTGTCGTCTATTAAAGCGCCCAGGCCACGCTTTTGTGAAGTAGCTTTACTGTCTTTTGTTTTGAAAATCCACAGCGGAGGTTTGTGTCGTACTACATGGGGTGTATTTTGCATATCTCTCAGTAGTCAACAATCTGAGAGTCTGTTGGCTCGGACATAAACTCCATAATAAATGTAGTCTACATTTCATAAGAGGTGTAAAACCTGAGAGCATTTTAAACAGCATTTTAACTAAATGCTTATATAATCTGTAGTTGTATTTGTATTGTTGATTTAATGTGTGAACGAGGCGATACAGAGAAGGTTAAGCTGTCATTATTAGGCTGTTATGTACTGTTGGAGTGGTAAGCAGGCCTATTGTTTTGGGATATTTGTGGAGTTAGGTGGTCTGCGAGTGTGTTTTTATTGGTTAGGTGGTCCTTGGTATGAAAAAGTTTTATAAACACTGCTCTACTGTATATATTTAGGATGAAAAAGAGTGAATTACCTGCAGAAGCGGTACCCAGCACCATCGGCTGAGTCCTGGTGACGCTCAGGTCCCAGATGCCGTCTCTGTGGCCGACGTACTCCTTCACCAGCTGACACACCGCTCTGGACGTGGTCGCTTTGAAACTGGAGACAATCTGACACCGACACAAATATATCACGTTAACTCTGAAGACAACCTTATTGAACCTAACAGGGTTCCTACACACGTTGCTTCCCAAGACGGCATCTCTTTTTGTTGTGTGTGGGAAGTTATACGGACATGTTTCAGTAAATTCGATTTATTCTTTTAGAAATTGAGGAGTGGACTTTGCATTTTTGGTGGTTTAAGACTAGTGCTGCAGAATATATTGAAACACTGCAATGAGTGCAAAATCCAAATGGCAGTAAGCTCAATATTTGGTAAAGACTACATTTGTTGAGCTGCAGATAAGTCCTCTCCAACAAACTCATATTTCAAATTCAATTACAGTCAAAATTCATGTTTTCTGTAAAATCTTGCAGCCCTAATAAAGACCCTAAAAAACACTGTTTATTATTAGAGATGATTGAGGCCTATTGCTTTTAACCCTTGTGTTGTGTTCAAAAGCTGTTACCGTTCATGGTGTTCGTGGGTCAATTTTGACCCATGATTTATCTCAGTCCAAAACACACAAAAAAATGACTATCATCCAATATTGTTTTAACTACATCATAACTAACTTATAATGCATTCATAACCGTACAATCCTGTTTTAATGTTATGTTATGACCCCAAAACACATTACACCACATATTGCACACGTGCATGTGTGTGTTCAGGTTCAAGTGTTAGTGTACATATTCTTTGAGAAAGGTCGAGTTCCCGTGGGGGGAGGGGGGCAGAGGGAGGGGAGACCAGGTGCATGTTGCGAAAAATTATTGTTACAGTGGATGAAGGGGGCGGGGGAGGGGTGTCTAAAGTCAAAGAGGAATCTTGATTGGGCCAAATTTGACCCCGAGTCACCCAAAACAATTCTGCCGGGTCTCCCCAGACTCGAACACCAAATTATACACTTTTTTTTTAGAGACCTTCAGACGTGGCAAAAATGGTCAAAATCAGTTTTGTAGTGTTTATACAGCTGTTGTGGAGGATATCACGATGCCTTGTTCCGATACAAAAAACTAGAGCATAGTTATTACACAACATAAGGGTTAAATCATCACCTTTTTGAATGAAATGAGTGACTTTTAGACGGCATTACATATTGTACTCACACTTTACCTCGATGCAACTACTACCTCTTGTGAAATGCCTTTTTAACATGCTGCTGAAGCCCAACACATTTCCAAAGGTGGGATCATTATTTACAATTTTATTTATTTGTCAGACAGTTTCTAGATTTTCTACTTACTCTCTAATGCTGGTTTCATTCTATTTCTATTTTGAGATGTTTCTATTTTAGAATTAGTTATTTCTACTCTTTTAATTTGTTATTATGTGCAATGCCTTGTTTTGTTTCTAACAAAAATGATCCAAATTGGGATTAAAAATAAAGAACATCTTATCTGTATGTTATCTTATCATTAAAGTATATATACTATCAATTCTTTTTCACTAAACTTTACCTAAAATACTAGTTTTTCCTAATTTACGTTTGTTTTTTGCTGTAACGCGACCTTGGGTCCCCTGAAAGGCGCTATATAAATCTAAGTTATTATTATTATTATTATTATTATTATTTCACACACACTTTTCGGGCTGGGAATAATTCAATTTAAATTGTCCAGACTTTTGCACTGCTGTGTAGGAACCCTGCTGTGACAGAGGGAGGAAGTGGGTCAAAAGAACAGAAGTCAGCGGGGTCCGTGTATTACGCAGGGCTAAAAAAAGCTTTGATTATAAACAGCGTTATTCATATCAGTCCTGGGTTCAAAGAGCTTTTACAAATACACATCTTTGTTGGTGTTTGGTTTTAAGCTTGTTTTGTGTGGTTGCCACCAATCGGATGCTTTAAAACAAACACCACGAACGACCCAGATCTGGTATCAACACAAATGCAGAATCATTGAGTTTCAGTGCCTGCATTCATCATACCAGGGTTACTATAGATGCAAAAAATAAAACTGTAGAAGGGGAAGAAGAAGCAAAAAATACTGTGTTATGATAAGAATTTGATCAGTGATTAATATCAGTTTTATCAAAGTGTTTACATTAAAGATGGGGATGATACAAACTCGACCCTCGGTTCGTTTTGGGAACAGACCACTAAGTACATTCCAACTGAAAGGAAGCAGGAGAGCATAGAGAACGGCATCATTCAGGTGAAAAATAAATACCTAATACACAAAAAAAACAGAGCATTTGCTTACAGTTTTCCATCTGTAAACAATATATATTTAAAATCAATAAATATAGGAAGAATAAACAGATATAATTGACACTGAAGTCGAAAAAAGACCGTTGTTTAGCACGGTGGAAACCAGTGGTTGTTAGGAAGCAGCGTGGCAGGTTTATTTATACTGTAAATGACGTCATGTTTTATTTATTTGCATTAAATGTAACATGATTTTGCCAGGTTAAGGTTTGACAGATGCTGTGTGATAATGTGATAAATGAAAGGTTAATAGTTTAACAAAAAGCAAAAAATAAGCTTTAAGTAACTGGTCAAATCTAACGCACAGAGAGTAAACTCAACAATGACTGACAACCAGTTTTACTTTCAATTATTCAGTTATATCAATAGATGTTCTAATCAGTATTCAACCTTGTTTATGTTTGCACTTTCCTTGTGATGGAAGAGTAGCTAAACTATGATATTGGTAATGGACTGTACTTATATAGCGCTTTATCCAGTCTTTATGACCCCTCAAAGTGCTTTACATACTACATGTCATTCACCCATTCACACCCATTCATACAGAGCAGTGCACCTTACTCTAGGAACTAACATTCATACACATTCACACACCGTTGGCCAACTCAGGGTTAAGTATCTTGCCCAAGGATACATTGACATGTGGGCTGCACGGGCTGTACGGGCTGCTTTTTATCGAACCCACAACCTTCTGGTTGAAAGACGACCGCACTCCCTCGCAGCCACAGTCGCCCTATTGGCTAATGTTATTGCAGATATTTTGGTAGAGAAACGCTACAAATATATGTTTGTTATTTCGAAAAACTGTGTCTCTATTAGAGTGGTTTGTTCACTAGAAATATAATCAGCTGTAAAAATATTCCTCTCCTTACATATAGAGTGGCGAAGTCCCTCCCCTTCCGGTGGACCTCCATGGGACCTTATTTCGGAAAAATTATGTATTGAAGTCAATGGAGAGAGAAAGATTATCTTTCGATCCCGTTTGAATTGTGCCACGAATTACACATATGATGTTTGTCCATTTAAAAGATAATTTTGCAAGTAAAAAAAAAAAATTGTGTCGTAAAACTGTGAAGTAACACATTTGTTTGTGTGAAACGCTCAATGAACTACATCTCTGGTCAACAACACACGTCACCAAGATGGCCGTCACTACTGTCTTGTCAACAAAACGATTGACTCCCCTCACTATCACCACAATGAAACACGTCCTGAAGAATGTCATGCAAAGCTGCCTGCCTGCCTTCCTTTGATTCTCTCTGAACTGCCTGGTCGTTTTAATGTTTAATGTCAACCATTTGTGCAGATAGCATGAAGTAGAGAAGATCGCTAGCGTTAGCGTTAGCATTTCTCCCCCGGGCTTAAATTGTGTATTATAGAATGATCACACCGGTGTGACAGTACTCTTCAAAGGGTTCACGAAATATGACTACTACTCTTACTGTTTAACATGTTGGGTTACTTAATGTTACTTCATGTTAAGGCTAATACAAATGACAAGGCTGTAATGCTAACTAACGTGCTAGCTACTAGCTAGCTTGATCCAGACACTCCTGGTCCTTTCATCAGACGGGAAGCGAAAGAACGAGCAAGACCCATTGCTGGTATGAACAACCTGGTACTAAGCACACAGGCATCTTGTTAAAGTTATCTTATCTTAGCCAGCGCCATATAGATAGAATATATCTATATGGCGCTGATCTTAGCTATCTCTTAGTGGAGGAAAACAATTGTGACATCACTTACGCGACTCTGGGATTTGCAGTCTTTCTAGTTGCGTATTTTTCATAGTCTTATATTTCAACAGTTTTACGACAAACTGTGACTTTTTTGACATGGAAATGATTTTTTAAGATTGACAAACATCATATGTTTAATTCATGGCACAATTCAAACGGGATCGATAGATAAGTTTTCTCTCTCCATTGACTTCAATACATTATTTTTCCGAAATAAGGTCCCATGGGGCGGAAGTAGATGGGCGTGACTTCGCCACTCTATAGTGTCTTTGGTAAATAATTGGACATATACTCTTAAACATATATGTGTTAAGTGTTTATATAAATATTTAAAAAAAATAGTATACAAGGTCATAAAGGCCCAAATATCTCTATTAGCTTAGGATATCCAATATTGGTTGGGTAGAACATTTGGGGTTTAGGCAGAAATCTCTAATTCTTGGCAAATAAAACCAAAACAAACTGAATTGACATGTTTAACAGTAAGTACTGTAAGCCTGTATACCTGATACACCTCTGTTAGCAGAAACAGCTTCAACGTGTATGAACTTCTCAAATTAAAGGATTAAAAACAATTATAAAATACAGCCGTGCAATTCTGCCTTAATTGATCATTGAAATCAGCCAACAAATGCTCCTCCACCTTGTAAATATTGCATTAATTGTGGCATAAAAAGCACGTTTGTACCATTTATGTGAAGAAGCTGAATGAAAACCAAAGAGCTGCAACTGAAAAGCCTGTTAGTGAGATAATGAGGTCGAGTTTTATCTCACACCAGATGATAAAAAAGCTCAAACTCCTACATTTGAATGACCAAGTCTCTCGGGGAGGGGGAGTCGACCCCGTGGCTGGGCTGCTCATGCATTTTGGCACAAATGGGGGGAGGGGTTTGGGGGGAAAAAGCGACAAATTACCCATGAGTCTCCACCCCACAACTCCCAGCTGGTAACGCTGAAGTTGCGGGATCCACCTACTCTGGCGTGGCAAGAGTTTGAACGCGGCTACGAGCAAAGAGGTGAAGAAACACAGCAGTTCTGTTCTTAAACATTCAAAGAAAAGTCATGTGATGGTTGATAGAGAAAGGTTTTTTTCCAAACCAAATGAACACACAACATTTTCGGAGCAAAGAGGCGAAGAAACACAGCAGTTCTGTTCTTAAACATTAAAAAAAAAAGTCATGTGATCGTGCACTGATGGGCATCGAAGGAGCCAATTAAACCTTCCACATTTTGGATTTTAGCGCACTTGATAGAGAAACAATTTTTTTTCCAGATCAACGTTCTCAAAACAAATGAACACACAACATCTTCTGGATAATAATACAAATATTAAACAGATTATACCTTGCTTGTGGAAGCCTTGTAGGTCGTCTTCAGTTTCTGTGACAGCTGGCTCGTGCTATGACTCGCTGATAGAAAGATAGAAATTAGTCATTACAAAATAGGTCAAAAATAAGCACAGCACATATAAGCATAGGCAGCGGGTACTGTAGGCTAGGGAAGGCTAAGCATTCCCAAATATTTTTGTCACTGCCTCCTGGTAAAATTAAAATATAATGTTTGTGTCTTTGACATTAGGGCTGCTATGCAGCCACCAGAGGCCTGTACTCTGAATCCAGTTCAACAGACCCTGATATCTTTGAGTTATCTTAACTAACCCTAACAAAAAGATCTCGCTAAGCGGTCCTACGACGCTGGTTATCAACTCGGTAAATCGACCCAGGGTTTCTCTCTCCGGCTGAGAGCGCGTTCACGTGAAAGGGGCGGGGTTAGCAACCTTTGACCAATCACAAACATGGAGAAGCGTACTGACTGCGCAGCGTCATACTTCCTGAATGAAAAGTCAACTATAATAGTATATGAAGAAGTTAAACTTGAAACATCCATGACTTTAACACTTTATCCAGGATAAAAGCCACATAGCTGCACCTGCAAGGTGAATACAGCTGGTAACAAAAAAAGTGTTTGAATGCGTACATTGACAGGTTTATGAAATCACTGCCCCGTCTAAGACACGAGTGAATCTGACTTTAATTACATTTGACTCGAGTGTTTCGTCAACTTAATGTGTTGCTTAAAATAATACTTCTGCATACAGTATGTGACACTGTGAGTGTTGCACGGCCAGATACGGCTCAAGAAGCTGACTCAGATAAGGAAATATATGATACATTATGATGTGATATGATCAATGATGTGATTGATGTGATATGAATGATAAGTGCGACACGTTGGCGTCTTTCCTGCAACGGCAGTTTAAACTGTATTTCCTCTATCCTGTAATATGACTTGATAGCTTTAAACTCCGCACACTGAGCTCTGATTGGTCAGCAGGCGGTGCTTTCACTGAGTTGATCTCTTGACGCCGGAGGCGGGCAGCGTCAGGTAAAACAAGTTATTTAGCCTTCCCAAACCTGAGCCTCACGTGCCGCCTATGCATATAAGGCAGCAATACAATGCATTTTAATTTAATTTAGGGACTAATATAGACATTCCTGTTTATAAATGTCATTTTAAATAAGCCTGCATTCACTTAAAAACACTTGTTCACTTTTTTAAAGGTAAAAAAAAAGTGTCAAACTAAAGTTACAAATTCATTTTAACTGAGCTCTTAAATTACTTATTTATATGTTTTCACGTTATATATCAAATTATAAATCTAACTTGAGGCTTTATCATCAAAACCAAATAGTCAGTTCAGAGATTGTTAACATAATGTCTCTGCCACATAAATGTAATTTTTATTATTTTCTGCGTACTAAATGGTGGGAAATGTTTTCTTGCGTTGCTGAAAAGCGTCTCACCTTTTGTCTTCAGGGCTCCTTTGGCTAAATCCGCTCCTTCGAAAGCTTGTCCATCTGCAGCCAAACGATCGTTCAGCGTTTCGATTTCTCTGCGTACTGAGAGTGAAACATAAGATAAGTAGAGTCTCTACTTTAAAGAGTTCTCTCCTGCTGATGTTCAGGTGTATATCAGTATGTAGTGTCTCTACTTTAAAGAGTACTCTCCTGCTGATGTTCAGGTGTATATCAGTATGTAGAGTCTCTACTTTAAAGAGTCCTCTCCTGCTGATGTTCAGGTGTATATCAGTATGTAGTGTCTCTACTTTAAAGAGTCCTCTCCTGCTGATGTTCAGGTGTATATCAGTGTGTAGTGTCTCTACTTTAAAGAGTCCTCTCCTGCTGATGTTCAGGTGTATATCAGTATGTAGTGTCTCTACTTTAAAGAGTCCTCTCCTGCTGATGTTCAGGTGTATATCAGTATTTAGGGTCTCTACTTTAAAGAGTCCTCTCCTGCTGATGTTCAGGTGTATATCAGTATGTAGTGTCTCTACTTTAAAGAGTCCTCTCCTGCTGATGTTCAGGTGTATATCAGTATGTAGTGTCTCTACTTTAAAGAGTCCTCTCCTGCTGATGGTCAGGTGTATATCAGTATGTAGTGTCTCTACTTTAAAGAGTCCTCTCCTGCTGATGTTCAGGTGTATATCAGTATGTAGTGTCTCTACTTTAAAGAGTCCTCTCCTGCTGATGTTCAGGTGTATATCAGTATGTAGTGTCTCTACTTTAAAGAGTCCTCTCCTGCTGATGTTCAGGTGGATATCAGTATGTAGTGTCTCTACTTTAAAGAGTCCTCTCCTGCTGATGTTCAGGTGGATATCAGTATGTAGTGTCTCTACTTTAAAGAGTCCTCTCCTGCTGATGTTCAGGTGGATATCAGTGACAGGAGACACAAGCTCTACACTGGGAATACTGGGTTTTGATGAACCACATTTAAAAATGAAGCAATATTTTGAGACATACACTCCAGGTTTTCTATGTAGATGTTTTCAAACTCCCTCTCGATCTGACTGAAGAGGTCGAGCAGGTTGCTCCTCACAGACAGAGGCAGTTTGGATTCCTGCAGAACCAGGAAACAAGAAGAAATTAAGCAGTAAGTGTGTGAGCATGGTGCTTCATTACAAATACTGAGAAAAGGACTTAGTGTGTATACATGAGAGTAACACCTACGTCACTTGCGGGCAAAAATTACGGCCCCGCCCACTTTTGGGGGAAAACAAAGCTGTCATTTGAATGGCGGTAAATACAAATTCTGAAGTTTTTGCCAATCCGATCAGACATTTTTTGAAAACCGTGGATTTTCTGATCTTCAAAGAGCCCGGTTACGATGGCCAGTCAGGCAAACAATTACATTAAATCATTTGAAATCGACAATCGGGCTCGATATATGGTTAAATTAAAATCAGTAGGCGAGGCCGTAATTTCGCCAGCTGTTACTCTCATGAGCGAGGAGGAAAATAATAGTTGTATCATGCCAACAAGCTGCTGTGTCGTTTATTGCTCCTCAAACATTAAAACAAATCCAGAGTTCAGTGTTTCTGTACTTCCTCTAAGAAGAAAGGACAGTAACAGAAGAGCTCTGTGGCTTCAGGCTCGATCGCCATTCAAATGACAGCGTTGGTTTCCCCCAAAAGTGGGCGGGGCCGTAAAGTGACGTAGATGTTACTCTCATCTATGGACATCGATCGCCTACAGCTATATTTAACCATATATCGAGCCCGATCTTCGATTTCTAATGGCTTAATATGTAATTGTTTGCCTGTCTGGCCGTTGTAATCGGGCTCTTTGAAGATCCAAAAATCCACGGTTTTCTTAAATTTCTGATCGGATTGGCAAAAACTTCAGAATTTGTATTGACAGCGTTGTTTTCCCCCAAAAGTGGGCGGGGCCGTAATTTTTGCCCGGAAGTGACGTAGGTGTTACTCTCATGTATCAAGGGCTACAACCACTTTTATTATCTAATAATCTACCAATGAGTTTTTCAAAGCTTTTTTTTGTCTATAAAACATTTTAAATACTTTTTTAATTTCCGAGGGCGAAGTCTTAAAAATCCTTGTTTTATCTGAAATGATGTACAAAATCAAAATGTATTGTATTTAGTAACATTTATGACAAAGACAAGCAGCTAATCCAAACATTTGAGAACCTGCAAACAGTCAATGGTGGGCTTTGTTTTTGTAATATTAATAAAAAACCATTAAATTACTTTGACAAATTCAGGTGCTGACAGTTGCTGATGGTCATTAAGTCTGAAAAAGGGAATGTTATATATAGAAGTGAGACATTTTTTAAATGTATTTCATCTCCAAGAAGCAGATGAAAAAAGAAACCTCTTAAAATAGAATTAATACAATTCACTAAGATCAGAAAAAATAACACAATGACCAAAATAGAATATCATTATGCATTCAGCCGCACCAAATCACATCATACTGCTGCAACAAGGCAGAAGAAAATACTCTTATTACACAATAAAAGCATTGAGGGAGGAAATGAGAGGGAGTTCTTGTGTCAGAGTCAAACAGGAGGATTCAGGAACAGGTCTTAAACTAAAGCTTGAAGACACAAACACAGAACATTCATTCCAATGTATCGTCGTGCAAATGCTTCCTTTTAAACAAATCCAATTACAGACAAGACGTATCATCTATTCGCTATACACATTCAATTCAAAGCAGATTGATAATCTAATCTAATCTAATCAACAGCTGACTTGGTTATTGTTTCCAGTTTGTTTAAAAAGATGCTCATTACATTACATATCATTTAGCTGACTAACAATAAGTGCAAAAACCATAAAGAATCGACTCCGAACAACAAGGAAAGTGCAGATATATTCACGTCAAGCGAGATCATACCATAGTAAGTGCTGGTGAATTAGTTACAAGACCTACATTAACTCAACAAGTGCTTCGTTTGATTGTTTTAGTTTTCAGCAATAATTGCCAAGGCACAGGCGGAATAGATGCTTCTCTCATCAGTTTAATTGATGTTCATTTGCATTCATGCACAAGACACTCAATACTAGATTACAGTACAGTTAGTTGTCCTCTGAATACCACCGTTTATACCAAGCTTCATAGAGCAAAGAGCAAGGAGAAAAATATAGGAGAAATTAATTCCTGCTTGTAATACTCAAAGTACAGAGCCCCTAAAGGTTCAAGGAAAAAAGAAAAAGTGTCGGCAAAACAGGAGAGTCTAAACCCGTCTGCCTTGATCTATGAATTCATGTCCGTGACTCTCACAGTATCAGCTATCTGCGCGCAGAGAGCTGAGTCTTTTACGCACCGCCTTCACTGTGTTTACCTTCATTAGAACAGCTGAATAGAGATCGAGGCTGCTACGTTTTAACCACACCCACACACACACACACACACACACACACACACACACACACACACACACACACACACACACACACACACACACACACACACACACACACACACACACACACACACACACCACACACACACACACACACACACACACACACACACACACACACACACACACACCACACACACACACACACACACACACACACACACACACACACACACACACACACACACACACACACACACACACACACACACACACACACACACACACACACACACACACACACACACACACACACCCACCCCGATTATTCCCCCTATTACTCGTTTTATGAAGGAGATGTCCGGTCACCAGGGCGCATGATGTGTGTGTGTGTTTGTGCTCTGCTCAGCTCCGCGCTGAGTGTGTGTGTGTGTGTGTGTGTGTGTGTCCGACACCAGCATTTGTTTTCAATTGACCATGAACCGTAATTTACACACATCTGGCTAACTCCATAGGTAGGCCTATATGTGTATTCCCAAGTGAAATACATTTGTTTAATCTTAATCTCGATGTAGTGCTTAGTGCTGTCGGAGTGCACCGGAACAAACGACACTATCATAATATCCACACACACACACACACACACACACACACACACACACACACACACACACACACACACACACACACACACACACACACACACACACACACACACACACACACACACACACACAGACACACACACACATACACACCACACACACACACACACACACACACACACACACACACACACACACACACACACACACACACACACACACACACACACCACACACACACACACACACCACACACACACACACACACACACACACACACACACACACACACACACACACACACACACCACACACACACACACACACCACACACACACACACCCACACCACACACACACACACACACACACACACACACACACACACACACACACACACACACACACAGTATCAAAGTTGGTTTACAATGAGCATTTTCACTGTAATTCTTTATGGAAACTGGACAATGAGTTAAAATGGCATTCACACAAGTCTGCTATTAAATGAGAGAGTAATGATTGGTGTTAACATTTCTACATAACATCATTCCTAACACTGTCTTGCTGTGAGTCTTGCAGGCACAAACAGGAAGTGGGCCACATCTCCTCGAAGCTTTGTTTGATGAAACGGCCTCTCTTTGTACCTGAGAGCGGTCTGTGCTCTCTCCAGAAAGCACTTCTAGCTCGGGCTGAATTGCTGCTTGCGGCTACATGTTCTCAAGAAATCAGTCAAGTGTGCCGTTAGCATTCAGAGGCTGATGTTGGCAGCAGAAATGTTTGTGCCACAGAGCACACAGACAAAAGACTGAAGGAGAGGAACAGCTGCAAAATGGAGAACATGTGCACATGCATGCTGTATAAAGCCTTGCATGGATGTAGAACAGATGAAGAAATCAAACTCCTAACACATATGGAGACGTTTATTTTGAAGTGTTTTGCCTTTATAATAAGGTACACATATTCACCATCAACTAGTTGTTAATGAACATGCATATTAGCAGTATATTGGCTCTTTATTAGTCATTATAAAACACTTATTAATGCCTTATTCTACATGACCATATTCTACAAGTACTAGGCCATTAGTTAAGAGTTTTTCCTCAATAACCCTCTAATTAGTGCTTATTCATTGTAAGTAAGGAAGTTGTTGTACATGAGTTTTGGTCTTAATATGCTCTGCTCAATATGCGCCTAATAACTCTCATACTAACACCTAACAAATATGGGCTATTCTTATGTAACAAGACATGAAACTACAAGTGTTAACTGTGTGAAAATAACACAACATTAGGTATTTCTAACTCAGAATATGTTCCCTATTTTAAAGTGAAGTCTTGTTCATAACAAATGAGCTAATAGTTTGTCTCTAATGTGTTAATTAAAAACTAGTTGATGGTGAATAAGTGTAACTTAAAGGTCCCCTATTATACTGTTTTTCATCAATATATTATAGGTCTCAGATATATACAGAGCCTGTCTCTGATTGGCTGAAATACCAAACAGATCATTGCAGCATCCCATAATCCCCTCTGTTTCAGCCCTGTTTCAAAAGTGCTGATTCTCTGTCTGTTACTTTAGATGAAAATAAGGAGCCCCTCCCCACGCCCCTCTGAGAGATATTTGGTTAAAAAGAATTCAATGGTGCTCTAGGAGGAGATGCAGGTGATAAGGTGGGGGGGTTACCTTGGTTGCTGATTGGCTAATGGTTACACAAGCCAACACATCGTGATGACATCATAAAGTGGCCAAAATCTGATCAGCTCATTTTCAGACAGGTTTTTATATAAATGGATCAGGACAAAAAGAGAGAGAATCTTTGTTCCTGAAACTTTCAGAGTCTCTTTCCACAGAGGGGACACATGTTGATGTAGAAGAGACATGAAGAAGAGGGGACACATGTTGATGTAGAAGAGACATGAAGAAGAGGGGACACATGTTGATGTAGAAGAGACATGAAGAAGAGGGGACACATGTTGATGTAGAAGAGACATGAAGAAGAGGGGACACATGTTGATGTAGAAGAGACATGAAGAAGAGGGGACACATGTTGATGAAGAAGAGACATGAAGAAGAGGGGACACATGTTGATGTAGAAGAGACATGAAGAAGAGGGGACACATGTTGATGAAGAAGAGACATGAAGAAGAGGGGACACATGTTGATGAAGAAGAGACATGAAGAAGAGGGGACACATGTTGATGTAGAAGAGACATGAAGAAGAGGGGACACATGTTGATGAAGAAGAGACATGAAGAAGAGGGGACACATGTTGATGTAGAAGAGACATGAAGAAGAGGGGACACATGTTGATGTAGAAGAGACATGAAGAAGAGGGGACACATGTTGATGAAGAAGAGACATGAACAAGTGGATTTTGCATAATAGGGGACCTTTAATATAAAGTGTTACCAAAGTTTCAATTATAAATTGACAAAAGGAGACAATGCTCAAACCCTTGTATGTTAAAGGATAGGAGGAGCACACAGATTCATAAGTATCATAGCCCTCTTTGCAAAAGAACGTCTTGAGAATGATGATCATATTTAGCTTTTTTTTCTTGAGTATATTATTCAAAGGAAATTCTATTTAATTACTCTCATATGTTTCTCCCCATGTCCACTGTTGAGATTGGGAAACATGATCTGGCAAAAGAGCCTTACTGCTGCCCTCCAAAAACATTATCAATTCGATTTTTTTTAAAAGCTTAACACCTGAGCAAACTGTCTCCTAAAATGTTCTGTAGTTACATTATGATAGAGCAGATATGTTTCCAGACAAGACAACATCCTTCAACATCCTGGAGAGTTTCTACCTTATAACAATTGATAATGCTCTTGGAGACAATAATGTAACCATGGTCATGTTTTTGTAAAGATTACATAACAGAAAATGTATTTCTAATCTCTGTCACTATCTAAATCTCAGAGCTACAGGGTACCACACTCTCCAATATCAAGCTTGTGAGTCATGTGATCTTCTGTTATTAAAACCCCTGATTTGTTAGTAACTGTGCAATGTGTTGGATTTCAACAGTTGCTAAATATATGTTCTGATTATGGAGTCAAATTTGATGTTAAATACAATGCTAAGAAGAGCGCTGTAATGATCTGCAGAGCAAAAGGGGATAAGAACCTTGGCGTTCCAATATTCTATCAGTCAGGGCAGGTGCTGTCTGTTTTCTGTAACACTAAGTATCTGGGACACATCATTAGATGAAATGGCTGATGATGATGACATGTATAGACAGCGGTAGGGCTGCACGATATTGGAAAAAACTGACATTGCGATATTTTTTTCCCCTGCGATATATATTGCGATATGAAAGAATACAAGAATTGAAGAAAAGACAGTTTTTTTTGTCTGCAAACCATCCTTTCTTGAACTTTAATGCTGTACAATTGGTATTTTTCTAACTATATTTAACCGGATGAAGGATTTTAGTCACGGACGTCTGGATCTTAAGTTATCAGAGCAACAAGCTGAGCTAGCTCGGTTAGCCTGCTGTGATCTGATCAAGAATGGTTGTGATTGGTGGTTTGCTGTGCATGCAGAGCCTGCATGTCACTCACTCAAGTACCCCTGACATGGGAGCCGCGCGAGTTTTCCTTTTGTAGCAAGCAGCAAAATAATTGTAACATGACAATGACATGACATGACGTGTTTGAGCCTACTTAATCTCGCATGTCCTAAAAAAATATACATATATATAAATATATCGTGCAGCCCTAGACAGCGGCGTCTCTTATATACACAAGCTAACATGTTGGCTAGAAAATTCTCTTGGTGTTCAGAAGGTTAAAGGTGGGGTAGGTAAGTTTGAGAAACCGGCTCGAGATACACTTTTTGTTATATTCCATGGAATGCTCTTAACATCCCGATAGCAATGAATATCTTAAGTGCTTTGACAAAAAATCCATTAAAAAATGTCATCTGTGGAAGCCGTGGTACTGTAAAAAGCACGACCAATCATTTAGCCGGCCCGGCTAAAATAACTGGATGGCCTACCTGCCTGTCAGCCTTCCATCTGTGCACAAACTTATCTCGTGCCCTCATTGGTCATGTGCGCGTTCGTGTGTGTTGGAGGAGGGGCTCTATAAGGAAGTGGCAGATTTTTTCCGGCTGTGTATTTTGAAATTCTAGCGATCTCGAGCTGGTTTCTCCAAAATGACCTACCCCACCTTTAAGGTGAACCTCTTGAGAGCTTATTGTACTCGTCTCTATACTGCCCCCGTGTGGCTCAAGTTTAAGAAGGCGAGCCTCCAGAAGCTCCAGGTTGCTTATAATGATTGTTTGCGTATACTGCTTAGAAAACCAAGGTGGTGCAGTGCAAGTGAAATGTTTTGAAATGCACGAATCAACACGTTCCATGCTCTCTTGAGAAATCTGATGTACAAATGTATCTGTCGATTGAATGTTTCTCATAACTCTGTCATTATGCTGCTTTCAAATCCGTGTCTCAGTGCTGTACGATACCAGTCGCCTCTGTGGAAACATTGGGATAACTGCCTTTTTTTAATTTATATTTGAGTGTTGTATGTCTTTGAAAAATTGACCTAGAGTCTCGTTAAATAAAGCTGATGATGATGATGAAATACAAAATACAGTGAATTCTACAACTAAAACTTTATTTTACCGCGGCAAAAAAACTACTGTTAGTGTGATTGGATGCTAAATCCTACTGGAATATTTAGGACATCACAGTCTAAAAAGGGAAAGGATCTAATGATTCAATGTAGAGAAATCACTTCCACACAACACCACGACTAAATCAAAGTTAAACTACACAGTTTAAGCTAGCTCTAAAAACAGTTTGGGGAGATTCACTACTGTCTGAAACACCGAGGCTAGACACTTTAAAACATACCTCCATTGGGATGTCAGACTCCAGATTATCAGAGGACTGGGACCAAAAGGGACCAGAGGTCAAATCAAATAAAAATTGAGGACGGGAATCCAGAATAAGTCTAAGCTCACTGGCACAGCATGATTATTTATCACAAATGCATCTCACATCTTCAGTCGGTCATTAGAAACTGGCAAAGAAGCAGAAATAAACCATTTATTTCATAATCTATGCCCCTACAACTACTTCAAATAACATTACAATAGTTGTGGCATATGAGAGAGAGAGAGAGAGAGAGAGAATGAGAGAGAGAGAATGAGAGAGAGAGAGATGAGCAGAGAGGAGAAGAGAGGAGAGGACGAGAGAGAGAGAGAGAGGAGAGAGAGGAGAGGAGAGAGAGAGGCGAGAGAGAGGAGAGAGAGGAGAGAGAGAGGAGAGAGAGAGAGAGAGAGAGAGAGAGAGAGAGAGATAGATAGATAGATAGATAGTAGATAGATAGATAGATAGATAGATTATTGATCCCAAATTGGGAAATTATTTAAAATGGCATGCTTAAGCCGGCAACAATATAAACCACTATGTCCCCTCTAATGGATGCATCAAATCCTAATTGGTTTAGGCTTATAGCAAAAGTGCATAGCGAGGACATAAATAATGATAACAGACAGGAGATTAGTTTGATAGTTCCAGTGGAGCAGCTATAGGTTTAAGCTGGTGATGCTACTGGTTATTGCATGATGATTTTGACAATTTTTTCAATGTTTTTTGTGTATTTTCGCAGCATGAATGTCCTCACCTGTCCCTCCAGCATGTCTCTCTGCAGGCCGGAGCGCTCCTGCTCGGTGCTGTTGGTGCGGCGGATGGACAGACTGTGGGACTTCCTCTTCTGTTTGGCCTGACGGGCGGCGGCGCTCCCGCTCTCCACCGGCATCCCTCCTCACAACGCTGAAGCTACCTCAATCTGAAAGCACCAAAACAAAGAAGTGTTGTGACATTTAAAAGACTTAGGAGGACGATGAAAGATTGATTTAGAGAAGTTAAAATTGGAAAATAAATGTGTAATCAATGATATGCCATTGCCAGGTTACACAGTGAGAAGTGTGCAACAATAACAGACCCTTATATTCCAAGCTAATTGTTACAAGGCAACAAATACAATTTCACTAAATGTAGTTCATAACAATATCCTATAAGGTAATAAAACCTGCAACTGTTATTGTAAAAAGGAATGGAAATATATTAGATATCCACAAATTATCAATTCTATTTACAAAAATAATAATATGCTATCTCATAACTGTTAATGGTACTAGATGTGTATTTTGTAAATTGTAATTGGTGTAATGTATGCCTTTTATTTCATATTTAGCTATTATATTATAGCTATTATATTATATACTCTGTGGGGCAAATGAAGGTATTCTGATTCTGAAGACCCATAACCCTAGATTGATATAATAACTGGTATAAAGGTATATAAAAATGTAGCTATATCCTATTTTCTTATCCCATTTGGATTTCTTTCAAATGCTTATTTACAATTAAGACAAAGGAAAAGGACCATGAAATAATACAATAATAAAAAACTGTTTTAAGGAGACTATAATAATAACATTAAAATACAGTAATATTGACATGGAATATGGATGATATACCCGTAAATATATATATATATATGTGCAGTTATAATATGCAATATCCCTTAGGTTTGTGCAGGACTGACAGTATGTATAATGACTCAACTGAAGTGCGTAGGGAGAGAAAGTCATTGTAATGGATGCTCATTTTAATGCCACAACATAAGCCTGGCTGTCACAAATCCCTGCCCTTGAGTTGACAGTTGCAGGTCTCTTTACACATAGATCGTGTTATTTTCTATTACAATCCAGGCTTTAATCAAATAAAGACAATACTTCTTGTGGTATTTTAGTATATCTTGTACTACTGAATGAAAGAACTGCCTGCTGTCAGACACCTAGGTGCATTTTGAAGACATGGGAACACCTTTAATATACATTATAGTAATAGTCTATGATATATGACATCAAGATGTAATACAATTAACTAGTAGGATGTTAATTTTAGCAGGAGTCTGGATAATGTTAGCTTTAACAGTAGCTTTATTAAGCTAGGCAAAGCTACCGTTATACGTTAGCTAATACATGCTAAAAGGCCAACGCGTAATACATCCTTAACAAACATGGAAAACTTACCGGAAAGTCTTAAAAACGTAGAGTTTTATTCCGTGATATTGTGATAAATGTCACCGTTTCTATCATTTTCTTCCAGAAATCAGCGCAGTTTTTTTTTTCTCCTCCAGATTCCGTCCGTGTTGACAGTTGACGCTCCGTTACGTGAGGAAAAAAAGAGAATGAAGCCACTTCCGGTTCCTTCAAAATAAAAGCCGATTGTAACGTTTCTTCAGACCACACTCAGAAAACATGATAAAACCACACCTTTCTGATTGTGGTCTGAAGGAACGTTACAATTGGCTTTTATTTTGAAAATCGACAATATAATACCATAGATAGACTGTATAATACACTGTAGTATTTCCTTTTTAGCTTTGTAGGTTCTTTGTATGTTTACATTTAGAATAAATACTTGTGTTTATCCTTCTTTAATGCTAAATACTTTCTTTTTATTATAGTTCTATTTTGTAGCTACTCTTACAACTTATTTTCTAATGTTTTTGTTGCACCACGATACACCGAAGCTGATTCCTTATGTGTGTTAAGTTACCTGGCAGTAAACCCCATTCTGATAACCTTGTCATTTCGGCACATCAGAAACTGTCCAAAGGAATTCAAATAAGAAAATACAAACTAAATGTTACAATGATAAGCAGTCACAGTAAGTATACTTCACCTGGCATATCTGACAACCATGTATTAGAAAGTGTAACTAACTGTACAAGCCTCTTGATGGATACTATACCTGCCAAATTAAACAGTTGCCATCAGGGCTCTATCATACAACATGTTCACTAAAAGGTGTCCATATGGTAAAAACCTGTGAAACGCTTAAAGGGGACCTATCATGCAAAATGCACTTTTTGATGTCTTTTATACATAAATGTGTCCCCGGTGTGTCGGGGAACTCACGCAGCGTCAGAAAATAAAACCCTCTCTCTTTTCCTCCGTACCCAAATCTCTAAAAACGGGGCTACAACGGAGCTGATCCAGATTTGCGTCCGATATGACGTAATATCGGAAATGTAGGCTGGCTTTACACCCACGGCCCCATCAGAAACGTTGCTATCAGAAACAATGCCCGACTGTTTTGGACGTAATATGGTCTGTGCATGTTAGCATTGCTAACACTCAGAGCTAACCTGTACTGCACAGCATGTGTGTGAAGAAGCAGGAAATAAAAAGGAACTCACCTTGTGGTATAACCAGCAAGAGAGAAAGCCTTTGAGCTCCATACTGTTTCAGAAATAATCCTTGATAATCCATGATATGGCGTTTCATGAGCATGGCTAGAATGGGTGATCTGTTTGGTATTTTGAGCAAAACACTTCAGACATGTTTTTTTATATATTTTTATTAGGGCTGTCAAGTTAACGCGTTAATAACGCGTTAACGCAAAAAAAAATTAACGCCACTAATTATTTTAACGCGATTAACGCATGTGTATTTTTTGTCCTCGGCCGCCGTAGTTTCAGAGCGCATCGAGTGTAAAATACCATCTACAAGCTGATGCTTGACAGCCCCGCTGCTGCCGCCCGCTTGTGGCAGACCACACTTCCACGCTCACCGGGAGGCACGGACTGGCCATCGGGAGGACCGGGAGGGAGTGTTTATGTGTGGAGCGAGGCACACCTTACGTGTTGTTGTTGTTGTTAGCATCTGGTGCTAGCTAGCTGCGCTAACGGATATAAGGAGCTGTTTCAATGACATTTCGCCGACAACTGCGCCGAGCACTTGACTTTATGCAGGTAGCCAGACAGTGGGACATTGTACGAAAAGTCAGCACACTCAGCACGGATAGTACGCGCAACATGATTGCAGCGTCCAGGCAGCTCCCATTCGAACACACACACACACACACAGTATTATTGTATGAGGTTCCAGGTTGAATTGAGGCAAATATTTGTAATGTTCAGAGGTTGTTGTGTTTAATATTCATGGGAATATTTGTCATTGTTCAAATGATAAAACAAACATATAAAGCATATTTGTCCACTCATATGTTGATAAGAGTATTAAAAACTTGAAAGATATCCCTCTAAGGTACATTTAGAACAGATAAAAAATGTGCGATTAATTTGCGATTAATCACGATTAACTATTTTAATCGACTGACAGCCCTAATTTTTATATATCTGAGACCTATGCTATTGCCTAAAAATAGCATGATAGGTCCACTTTAAATTGTAAAAAATTCACATAGACTTTGTTCTGGTCGCTTTTACGATCCTCTGGGATATATTACATAACAAGAGAAACTTCCGAAATAAGGGGAATATAACCAACATTTCCAACTCTAAACAGGTGAGACACAGACAGACTGAAGTTTAGTTCAGGTGTATATTTATTAAGCCTCCTTGTTAATTTGATTATTTAACAGAGGGAGACTTGTGGGGGAAGAAGAAGAATCATCATCACTTTATCCAACTTAAACCCAACATGTTCTGATCCACATACAAGGCATTTTTCTTTACATAACTGACATTGCCAAGACAGAAACAAATCAGTTAAATAATTGACATTTGTGTACGTTTTTGATCATGGCAGCCAGTTACAAAACAAGACATTGACTAAAAGCTGATTTCTGAGTCTGTTTTTCCATATAGATCAATTTTCTGATATTCTAACAACCTTATTTTTCGTGCTGACAAATAAAAGACACACTGTTATTATAATTATTAATCATTTAATATTTCCCCAGCTGCCATCCTCAAGGACAGCGCTCCTATGTCACAAAAATATCATATGAGCAGAGTTTCCACGCTTACAAAAGGAAGGATATTTCCTCTTTTTACTGCCGGGTGAATGTAGAGAACGAAGACGTTATCTCCACACAGAAGCCTATACTTTCCAAAAGAGTGTCCAGTCCAGAAAAAGGATGTATGTTTTTTGTTTTTTTTATCTGCGATCGTTGGTGCCGTTTGTCCTCTTCCCGGAGAACAGATGTTTGGGTTTGAGGTCGTAAATGTGTCTGTCCCCCTCTCCCTTCTTTCCTTGACGGATCATGTCTCTCTGGCCGATCTTCATCATGATCTTCGCCTTCTTCACCATCTGAGGAACAGACCAAGAAGACACAGATGTGAGTTTTCTTCAAATAAAACTGCCTTGTGATTACATTAACAGAAGAGTTTCACACTTTACACCATGCTGCTGAAATAATCATTCCTCCCTAAGGAGATGAAACCGGCTAGCTCTTAACCTGTTAAGCCCTGAGCCTGTTTTTCAGGCCTCAGACTCGAAAATGACATTCCCAGAACAAATGACTATATTTTCACTTCTAAAAGGGGTAAATGAATAATCTTTTTTGTCAAAGCAATGATAAACCTGTGAGTTGGATGTAGAAAAGTCAGAATCAATATAGATGTTTTTTTATTTTAAAGTAAATTCAGATTGAACATAGTAAAAAAATGTAAATTATAGTGTCCGTCTAAAAAAAGAAACATTACTTATAGTGAAAACCACCCTTGAATGATGGGATCGGAGACTAAAAGCTTTAGGAATCCAAACTATAACATAATAAGTACCCTGTATCAAGATTGATGCAAAATAAGTGACATTTGACCTTTTAAGAGAGATTTAGCACAAAAAACCCACTTCTGGGGTCATTTGGGTGGATTTTCCATATTTTTGGAACCCATCCCCATGTTGTTTGTTGTTGTTTGTTGTTGTTTCGCCGCGAGTTCTGATCGCTCAGTGATGATACTTATACCTCTGGAATCGGTGGAATCTCAGCTTGCTAGCAGATATCTTGTTTGTGCATATTCGATCAGTAAAAAGGGTATTTTACCGTGAGTTCTGTGCCAAGTGCATTTTTTTCGCTCAGGGCTAATTCAGAGCCTTTGTTATTACCCTTATGTTTCGTTTAGCTAAAAATGGTTAATATTGTCTGAAAGCTGAGTTTCTTCCCGTTAAGTGAGTATGACACATTCATAGTTTGTTAAATGTTAAGAAGCCCTCAGACACTGTTTGTGTGTGAGATGTTGTGAGATGGCTAAACAGGTTAAAATGCATGAAGGGTAATTATAAAAATCTAATTTAAATGAAGGCTTTTTTACAGTATTGTGTTCATGTTTCGCTCTTAGATTTGTTTACATATTAACTGTTTTAAAGTACATTGTACCTTTGTTTGGAAAAGTGTTATAACAATTAAGTTGTTTATTATTTGTATAGTATGTCGTACACAAAGGTTTTATTTTAGTATGTGAAAACAAACCTTCATTTAAGGTGGAATATATTCATTCCACCTCGGCCCATTTTTGTTATTACCACTAATATTTAAGGCCAGAAAGACTAACTTTAGGAGGAAATAACCCCCAAAACATTTGAACACAGGTAATAAGGAATTGGAAATATTCCTCATTAAAAACAGTTAATGCTATTTTACAATCTAAAGTCTACCTACAGTAAAGCCTACATTTAGTATCACACATTTCAATGTAAATACTGCTATAATAACATATATATATATTAAAATAAAAAATAAAATAAAGCAGTATTTACATTGAAATAGAATGGAATAAAATATGTGCAGTAAAAAAAACAGATATTGTATAGCATAGATTCATAACTAAAAGTAAAGACAGGGTGTCGTACCGTTGGGTCTCGCAGACCGGACTGGTCTCTGGGCGGCCGGGAGGCGCTCTGGCTTCGGGTCTTTGAGGTCGGAACCACAGAAACGTCACGCTTACGTTTCTTGGTGACGCTTCTGGAGCGCCGGGCGTTCTGGGCGTAGTGACTCTGAAAGAACAAGAGGAGTACATCTTTAAATCCCTGCCGCTGTGGATAACATCGCCAGTCACTTTTACGCTACGATGGACATTTTCGGTTATTGAGTGTTCTTGTATTTTAATGTGTGTTTTTTTTGTACACCTCGGGACTGTGGGAAACAGTATTTCGATCTTTCTGTGTGTCCAATTTTTTTTTGAGATTGACAATAATGTTGACTTTGATCTGTCAATCTCAAACTGGAACTATTTGAGTCCCGATGGAGAAAGTGGACTGATTTCGTAGAACCTCATAGGCCAGATTAATTTTTTTACAAACGTATTATTTTACTGTGAAGTCCTGATCTCTCCCTAATGTTTGTACTTTTTACTGTTTTTATTTTATCTTTGTGTAAAGGCATTTAGGACAGACAAACTTAAAGTGGAC